TTATAAAAGTTTTATTTAGATCTGTTTAAAATAACTCATAGTAAATGTAATTTATTTATTCAAATGTAATTTTTTAAATTATTCTTAATAATTAAAAATATATTTTGTTTTAAATATGTTTTTAAATATATAATATGGTTTTTAATCAAAACAATAAAATATTTTTTAAATTATGTTTACTGTAATTATCTCTTTAATTATCTTCAATTTAAAAGACGCCTTAAAATCACCTTAAAAATTATAACCTTTAGTAAAAGTTAAATGAATAATTTTACTAATATTTAAATCAAAATTTTCAATTTTAAATAATTGAAAATAAGTTTATTAAATGCTTATGTTTTTATTCGAATAGTTTATTAAATACGTTTATTAAATGCTTATCGAATTTATTTATTAAATGCTTATGTTTTTAATTCAAATACAAGGACGTAAAACTATTTTGTTAATTTTATAAATATTACCCGATATAATATATGTAAATATATATGTAAATATATTATGTAATGTAAATATTGATTAAAAATTGTTTAAAATATTTTTATTATTTTAAATTAAATTTACTAAAATATAGTTAATAACTGTATAAAATAATTTAAACAATTTTCAATAATTATTTAGTGATAGTGTAAATGTTTATTAAAATCTTAGGTAAAATTTAGGTTTTCTTCCAGCTAAAGTAACATCGTCCACCAGTAAATTCATGTATTCAAAAAATGCCTTTAAATCAACACCTTATTATAGGATAAAACTGAACAAGATAAACATAAATGATTATTAAGAAAATGATGATTAAAAGTTATTGTTGCAGCACCTGTTTAACTAGAGGAGAATGAGGGGAAGGGGAAATCAAAAACATAACCCCCCCCCCTCAACGTTGCTGAAAAAGTGTTCCCAAAACTCTGGGTTCTTCACTGACAGTATATACAAAAAAGAGAAGGAGATGCAACTTTATGATGATAGGATAGAGGCTCAAGCTTAGCAGATAGACTTTGTTCAACTCTGTTTACAATGCGTTTTTGGACCTTATCTTGAAGAAAAAGAGTATTATTAGAAAAATCAGCCCAAATATGACAATAGTATTTCATACAGGGACAAATAAGAAATTTGAAGTAGAGAATGGAATCAGGAAAGAGAAAATGATGAGCACGATAAAAAAGAGAAGCAAGCTTAGTATATGCTAATTTAGCAATCCATTGTATATATGGTTTCCATGAAAGGTCAGTAGTAAATGATAATCCAAGAAGACGTAAAAAAGAGGAATCAGTGAGAGGGTTGCCATTCATTAAAATAGGAGTGTCAACAGTACTGCAATAGTTATTTGAGGTAAATAACTGAGTTTTGTTGGAATTTAAATTTACAAACCACTGTAAGCCCTAATCAGTTACAGAAGTAAGATCAGATACAAGATGGGTGTCTGTTCTAAGCAAAAAGAGCTGTCTGTTCTAATGTTCTCATGCTGTCTGTTCTAAGCAAAAAGAGAAAAAATTTTGTCAAAATATTAGTATTATTTTGAATCATTAGAAAAAAGAGTTACTTTAGATGTGAGGTTGTCAGGAAGATCGTTAATGTAGATAAGTAATAAAACAGGACCAATAATATAATCTTGAGGTACCCCAGAAGTTACTGGAAATAAAGAAGAGTGTTGACCTTCAAGGATGACTTTATTAAGGCAGTTAGAAAAAAAACGATTTGATAATCTCAAAAATTTCCCAGATAAACCATATGAAACAAGCTTATAGAGAAGACCAACATGTCAAACTTTGTTAAAAGTCTCAGATATGTCTAGAGTAATAGCCTCTAAGCCTCCATCTAATGCATGATAAAATCTTTCAGTCACAGCAGTTAGCAAGTCAGCCATAGAGCAAGAGGATTGAAACACATATTGGTTGTCTGACAGCAAGTTATTTGATTAAAGTTGGAATGTGAGAAATATGTTTAAAGACTCAAAAACCTTGATAATAACAGAAAGAAGACTGATTGCACAATATTTGGAGGGGTCAGTATGTTTATCAGAGTTTTTAAAAATTAGAACAACAGATGCCATTTTCCAGCAAGCAGGAAAACAAGAATCAGTCAAGTACTTAATAAATAATTTAGAGAAAATTGAGTCCTGAAGAACAATTTTGTACGACTGTGACAGGAATTTTTCTGAACCACAAGCCGTAGAAGAGTTTAATCGAGATATGACTATGAGCAATGGAAGCTGAAGTAGTTTGAATGTCTAACAATGGGTTAACTTGTTTAATTAGAATGGAAGGAAGAGAAAGGCCATAAGATTTGAGAGACAGGTTGAAAGAGAATTTCTTTGCTAATAGTTCAGCCTTATTTAATGAATTTAAGCATAGCCAAGTATCAAGTACAATTCTATATTTTTTATTTTTTATCTCAATTCACCTCTCTGAGGCTACAAAGGCCACTTTAATTGAGGAGGCTTCTTTAGTTATGGATACAACCCACTCTCAATTTTATAACTTGGAAACACAAACCTTGATTAACAAAGATTAAAATAATTGTTTGGCTTTGATTTGGGTCCAAGTATTTGTTTACCAGTATCGATTTAAAGCTGTATGGGTTTATATTTTCAAATTTTTAATAATTAGTTAATTCATTGGTATCGGCATCGGTATTGGCCTTTTCACATCCATCGGCATCGGTATCGGCATCGGCCAAAAAAGTGATATTGGTACACCACCTACAATCATATTTATATTTTATTTTATATAATAATTTAATATGAATTATATTTTATATGATATTTTAATATAAATTAGGGTTCTACGGAAGACCACCAGGTGCAAATTCCATACCATTCACATAAGCTTCAGAAAAAACAAAAAAGAAGAGAGCAGAAAAAATATTGCTGTCAAAAGAGAGGAACTATTTTACTCACTTATTTTGAAACTAAAAAAGGAAAAAAGGTTCAGCGATGGCGAGGTACATTAACCTCAATAGTATAGACATTTTTAATATCTTATTTATTAAAAAAAAACAAAAAAAACAAAGGGGGATAATTTTTCTTAGACCTTGATTCTCTAAAGAAATTTGTAAATTGATTTATAGCTTTATCAGAAAAGACTTCAAGCACTATTGTTTAACAGCTTCGCTGTTAAACAATAGTGCTTGAAGTCTTGTGGATTTATTTTTATAACATATTAATAATGATAAATAATGTTTCTGTTAAATTGTTTGAGGGTCCTTATCAATCCAAATAGATTATAAAAATCACCTATCCTTGTGAGCTTTTCAATTTAACTTCTGGAAACATAAATACTTATTATATCTTTCTTTTGTAAAGAAGCTAATCTTGTTTTAGCTACAAACCCTAGTTTGATTTGATTTCCCTTAAGTATATAATCTTTTTTATGAAAATCAATTTTTGCTATAGACCAATTATCAATAACTTAGTGTTTCACAAACAAGTTCAGTATGGTCCACAACAGTCTTTTTAAGTCACTATTCATGAATGGAACCATTGACTTGTCAGTTTGGTACAACAACAAATATGGCTCTACTATCCTGGCAACAAAGCTGAAAACTTGAAATTTTGAACAAGTATGTCTTTAACAGCTTTTTTGACAATTAAAAGGCATATTGATTTGGGTTGGTTTAAAGATGATAACTTTTCCCAAAACTTAATTAACTTAAATATATAAGGCTAAATTTCTATGCCACAATCTGCAACAGATTTATTTTTAACCCACCAAAATAAAAGAGAGTTTTTTATTGCATCTGTGACTGTTTCATAATCTTGACGCCTAGCCAAGATTATGAAACAGTCATTATTTTATACTCCATGGTGTTGATTCGATAGCTGTTTTAGGTACCATGAATTACATGCAAGGAGCAACTTCAAATATTTATAAGCTGTGGCATCTCATTGTTCTTTTTGTGTTTATTTAGATCATCTAGAAATTTCAATTTGTAGAGGGTTCATGGAAACTTAAAACATTTTACTTGAATCAAATCTTGATGAGTATTTGTTAAAATGAGTAAGGTCAGAAGCTGTAGAATGACTGAGAAAAGCTGATGTCCAATATCTTACTTTAACTTTGTTATTGACATCCCATTATTGAACGAGTAGGTCCATCTGTCATGCTTTAGTTATGTCCTTCAAACTTTCATCAAAAGATATGATATAACAATCTGACTTTGTAATTTTTTCTTGTAAGAGTGTCTTGAAGTATGGTGCCAGTCCATGGTTAACAATGTATGATATTTTTGAGAAACTCATGCTGAAATCTTCTGCTACCTTACCGTCAAGAAAGATCTTTTTAAAAGAGTTATTTAAATTTGCACATGAATTATTTGAGTAGTAGAATTCTTATGTAGATTTCAGTGCCCAAATGATCTCACCAACAGTTGATAAAGATGATTTAATTGAGAAATTATTAGTCATTAGTTTTTTGATGGAAAATATTGTATTTTTTTATAAGCGGCTCAGCTCAAAACACTTTTCCATTAACAAAGAAATAGCTAACAGGATTGTAGTAGATTGATGCTTTTTACCTAAACATTTTTATAAATATGGTGTTGTAACCAATCTTCTTGAAAATAGGTCTTCTCTGAAGTCATATTTTATCTTATTATATTTAATTCAATATTTAATTAAACATATGGTTACTATATTTAATAAAAGTTATAAAAACTTTCAATAAAAATAAAAACTCTAAATTTGTATGTTACAAAATAACTTCAAGTTATATATAAAACTAAAAACCATTCCCTGAGTTTCCCTGATTTTTAGGATTTTCAAAAAAAAATTCCCTGACTTTTCCAGATATTTCCTGATTTTTCACAATTTAAAAATTTTCCCCTGGTTTTCCAGGTTTTCCATGAGTGCCTTGAACCCTGTAAACAGTCGTGGTCAAGTTGTCAAAAAATGCTTGAATTGAATAATTTTTTAAAGTTATATACCTTTTGGAATTTTTTTTTTGGGTAGACATTTTTATGGAATGTTGGAATTTTTTTTCTCTGATAAAAAACAAATAAAAACAAATTACCTTTTCTAAGATAGCAAAATCTTGTTGTTGTATATTATTAATTGAATTTTTAACATTTTGTATATCCATATAGAGCATTTCATTGGACTTGGCCTGTTCTATAGTATGTGAATTAATTTTTTCATTGGCTAAAAAAAAAATTAAAAGCAAACTAAAATAACTATTGTTAAATGAATGGATAATAACTTAATAATTAATCTAAACTCTCGTTATCTCAAATTATTGATATCTAAAACTTGTATCTTGAACTTTTTGTGCAGTCCTGTGGACACCACTTACTCATTTAGGCTAAAATCCTCTCAATACCTTGAACTTTAATATCTTGAACTTTTTGGTTATAATATCTCGAAAAATATTTTCAGTCTAGAGAGCAATTTTCTCATGTTATCTCAAACTTTTCAATAATTTTTTTTCAAGAAATGTTTTAATAACATTTAATTTTTTTAAATTTCAATTTTCGTAAAGTATTGCTATAAAATTTTTAAATTCAATTTTTTTTATGAACTGAATTTCTGAAAAGCATTTCTTCAATAGATTAATTTACTCTTTTTTTAATTTCAGACGAATGATATGACTGCTTTATGGAATGAAACTACACTTCCAACATTGCTTTCAAATTACAAACTTTAAAGCACTTTTAATGCTGACGAGTTAAGACTATTTTATCAGTGCCTACCAAACAAAACATACTATTTATCACAAGAAAGATGTTTCCGGGGAAAAAAATAGTAAAGTCAGACTATCAGGCATGGCAACAGGTAGCGCAACAGGAAAAAAATCAACTTTATATTTTCAAATAATCAAATGTTTATTATTGTAAAATATAAAAACCAACAATGTTTTAAGCAAAAACTTCCTTGCATATATAAAAAGTTAAAAAAAGCTAAAAAGTTGGATGACCAGAGAGCTGGTCACAGAATGGGTAATAAAACTTGACTCATTTTTTCGTGCTCAAGACAGGAAAGTAGTACTCCTGATGGATAACTGTTCTGCCCACCCACACATTTAAGGGGTAAACAACATCAACCTAATATTTCTTCCCCGTAACAACATCTATCCTGCATGGATCAAGGTGTAATATGAAGTCTTAAAGCTCACTATCATCACAAAACTGTGCATTTTTGTATCAAGGCTGTCGATAATAACGAACCCCTGCCAAAAATCTCTATACTTCAAGTAATGAAAGATCATAACAGGCGTGCATAAAGTTCTTTGTTTTAACAACTTGACCATGGCTCTTTGCAAGTTTTGATAATTAGCGCGTTTAAAAAATGCGTTAAAAAAAAACAAAGCAAATTAAAATAAACAATCCATAAACTGAAAAAAGAATAAAATCCTTAAAATAATATAATACAAAAATTAACCTAAAAAAAAATAATGTTCAAAGAATGATAAAATAAATAAAGGAAAAACCAGAAAAAAAAATCAAAACATTTATTAATTAATGTAAACTTAATTGTAAACAAAAGTAAAAAAAAAAAAAATTATCACAGCTCTTATAATCTTTATCATTCTTTCCCTTGAATAATTAGGCTAATACAAGGGCGAATCCATTGTGAGCAAAAAGGTAGCCCCCTCCCCTCAGATTTTTTATTTTTTTTAGAAATTGATGTTTAAAACAAAACTTAAGCTGTTTAAAAGTGCCATGAAATTTAATAAAATTTTGTGGTACAAGTTTAAAATTTTATTAAAAAATTAATAGGATACAGGGTGCGACAAATCGACAAATGTGAGCGCATTTCATAAAAGACAGACAGAAAAACAAACATCACATTTCTTTAATTTTGCTTATGTAGACTTGATTAGGATTTTTCAAAAACGAACATATCACTTCAGCAATTTTTTTCAAAATAATTTTGCGATAATTAGTTTTTTATTTATTATAAAAAAAGCATATTTAATATGAAAAACAATTAATTTCACAGACTTAAATTAAGGCCAAAACATTAACAAAACTTTTTTTGATAGCATCACTTTTAAGTAAAATAACTAAATACGCTATAGAAAAAGTAATTATGTTTTAGCATTGTTTTTGCATGCGCTCATATATGCATACATAATTTTACTTAAAATGAATGCTTTTTCAAAAACTTAAAAAAAATCTTCAAAATGTTATGATCGCTTTTTGAGAAAAGCGATCATAACATTTAAAAATGATTTCTTTTATGTTTTTAGCAATTACATTAAAAGTTTTAAGCAAATTTATTCATTATAAATAAAGTTTAGCATGCTTTTTTAAACAAATTTTTATTTTCCATAAAGTGAAATAATATTTGTTTGCATATTAAAACTTTTGCACTTTTAAAAGTTTTTTTATTGTGCATTTATCATTAATTTGCGCGCACTTTGCAAATGTGTAAAAAAAAAGGTTTTTGAAAAATAAAAATTGAATAAATTTACAAAGCATCTTTGATATATTTAATAACTTATTAACTAGAATATAAACTATTTAAATTTTATTTGACATAAATCTCTTAAATTAGATGTTTGTCAATAAATAAAGATACGCAAGTCAACATTCATTAAAAAAAAAAATGATGTCACGCCCTGGTATAAAAAATAGTTGGCAGATACGATTGTTTCAAGATTATTGTAATTCCTTTTTTTTAGTAAATAATTCTTAATTAGAATTATATTTTCATGATAAAATGGGTTTGTAATTATTTTTTGATAGCTTCTGTACTCATTTTGCCTTAAACTCTAATCTGAATTTTTTTTTTCAATGATTGCTTTTAATTAAGCTGCATTAAAGTACTCAGGAAATTTTGTGGAAGTTTAAATATAATTATGGAATCAATGAAATTAAAAATCGCATTTGTTTGTTTTTTAGTGCATTTTTTAAACGCGCTAATTATCAAAACTTGCAAAGAGCCGTGGTCAAGTTGTTAAAACAAAGAACTATATGCATGGTCATATAAGGCGTGCGATCGCACGCCTCTTACGAGAAGGCCTGTCAACTGCTTTAAAAAAGTTGGTATCAGCAAAACAAACAAGAGTATTGAATGAGCTGATGATGATCACCCATTTAAATTTTGACAGAAGAATTTAATCGTTTGTGAGAGTTAGATCCTAGTGCTGACCTAATAGATTTCTCAGTCGATTCTTATATTGGTTTAGATTGTGATGTTGTATTTTTTTTAATACCAAAGGTATTAACGCCGATTCAATTAGAAAATGCTATTGAAATGATTCAAAATGCTTCATAATACAGCTTAAAATATGGAAATTAAATACAATCCCTAAAACTTGAAGATTTAATGAAGATGGAAAAAATGGACAATTTAAAGCAATATCAGATAACAGATTTTTTCCAAAAGTTTTAGTTTTTATTGTTAATGATTTTTGTTAGAAAAATAACTTGTTTTAATGGCGGGCAATTTTATTTACTTTTAACTCCTCTCTTGATATCTCAAACTCTTAATATCTTGAATTTCCTAGTCCCCTAAGTGTTTGAGATATCGAGAGTTGACTGTATGTCAAAATATTTCTAAAACTAAAATATCTGAACAAAAAAAATCTCAAACAAACAAAAATGAATATAATTAGTTTTTAAAAAATTGTCTCAAAAATGTAAATTCAAAATTTTAATCTCAAAATTCTTTTTTAAATCAACTACACTTACTTTTGTTATAACTTAATTTTAAATGACACCTGATTGCCTTTGAGCAACATTTAAAATTATCTTGAAGTAATCATACATAGTCATCTCAATTTTAAAATTAATTTTATGAATGCTTTTAATCATTTTTAAATGTTTAAATGGAAAAATAAAACTACTTGAACTTTACAGACTATTTTACTGTATGAAATCACTCAAAGCACGCATAGAAATATTTCTGTCGTTATAAGAAAAGTAAAACTTGAGTGTTAGTAAATCAATTTTTATTTGGTGACACTATTTCTAATGTTACCAATAGAAACCACAAATCAAACTTATTTCAAATTGCTTTTAAAAACTTATCAAGTTTTAAACAAATAATGTAAATATTTATATTTTATACTTTATAGCTTTAATGTAAATATTTATCTGTTTTAAACAAATAATGTAAATATTTTATACTTGTATACCATTACTTTATTTTAATTATAACCAGGATATATATTAAAAGCAGTACTTACTACCAAAATGTTTATCAAGTTAAATATTATTGTTTATTATTGTTGTTTATTAATGTATTAATTTGCTAAACTTTTAATAGTTAAAAATAAAACTACCTTTAGCTAAGCTCACTTTAAGATCATTAATTTGCGTTTGTGTATTTAATATAAAAAAAGCAAGTAAAAGACAACCAGATACCACCACAGATATCAATACAAGAACAGCAATACATTTAAGTGTAAAAAGCGGTGATTTTCCACTTGCTACTCTGGTATCAAGTTGTTTCCTAAAACATAATATCATAAACAAATTATAAATGCTTATATCTTTACATGCATATAAAGCTACTGCAAGGGGGGGGGGGGGTACTGGGTACTTTCCAGACACAGGCCCAAAAAAGGCACACAATGATCAAAATTTTTTTTTAACTTTGTTAAAATAGATTGATAATTCTTAATCATACATATGAATCATTAATCAATACATATGAACTACTGAAATCTAGTTAATAATGGGCTAATCGGGTAACTAAATAATTTTAATTTTACTATAAGGAGCTTAACAAACGAAATCATTGATGCATTATATGACATAATTATTCAGAAGGGCTACTTTGTTTCTAAAAAATATACAATATATATAAAAATTGTATTAACGTAATTAACAAAATAGTACTCAATGTGATTAACAATTAATGGGTACTTGATTTGGGTAATAGATTCTAAGCTTTTATTTAGATTTACTAAATATTATAAAAATAAATTTATAAGTTTTTTAAATTCAAGTCTGATACTTGAATTTTTCTATTTTGAGTAATCAGAGTGAATAAAAATTATTAATATAGTATGAATTAAACGATAGTGTGAACTTTTTTATTTATTTTGAAATCTCTTTTTAAAAAAAGAGTATCAAAAAAATTATTGATTGGTTATAGTTTTTTGACTACAATCATAACAAAAAATGTTGAGTTTCAAGAAAAAAGATTCTGATTCTCAAGGCAGAAAAAATTCTGCAAATAAGATAAAAAAAAGAATAAAAAAATAAACATATACTTAAAGATTGTGATATACAAGTTTCAAAAAATGGAGAAGGGAATATAGCTCAACAACTTTCAGATTGATCACTACAAATTCCTCTCAGACATGTCAAGTTGTTGAAATAGTTAGTTTATTCATCCTAACGCTACCTTCTTTTTCAAAAATGAATTCCTTAATATGTTATTATTATATAAATCAAGACATTTTAAAATCTTTAGCCTTATTTTATGGAGGATCACATTGCCAATGAGTTATAAAAAATCTTGTTGAGCTTAGAAGAACTATTGCTTCTCTTAAGTAGAAAAATGTCAGCAACAAGAATTTAAAAATAAAAAAGATATTTTGGTTACCTTTGCTTTATGAGGATTTTTTTAGGAATTATCAAGCCTTCCCAAATGCAGTCTCACGCCTTGTCTATCCACATTTAAAGTAGTTTTTTTAAACACACTAATCACGGTAGTTCGCATCTTTTAACTTATGAAGCGTTTCAATAATTCACGGCAAAAAGCTAAACTTATTTAGTAAGAAAATAAACCAATTCTAAAAAAAAGTAACAATGTTGTAACGAAATATCAAATTTTAATTAAATAAATTAGAAAAATTTAATAATTTAAAAATAGAAAATTTAAAAGAAATTTTATTTTTTGTAAAATTTTTATACAACTTTTGTATTCTTGTTTTTAAGGGAAGTTGTTATTTTTAAGGGAAGTTGTTATTTTTAGCTAAAGGATTTGATAAAAGTTAAGGGGAAAAAAATTATATTTTATAACAATAAAAATATTTCATCAGGAAATAAACTATCATATTTAAATGCACTATTTGGAGAATCCAACATAAGTGCAGACTATTTCAATGGGGGCAGTGAAAACAAGTATTTTATATTTGAATATTAGTATTGATAACTTTATTTTTTTACAAATAAATAGCAATTAGTTTTCTCGTTTTTCTGTGCATTGATATAAACAGTTAAGTTTAGCAAAAACATTTGGAAAATAAATTTCAAACTTGTGCATATTTCTAGCGCAAACATAAAGTGTTTTCTTAATATACTGACTGACAAAAGCCACAAATAAATTCTATATCAAAAAATGTTTTTATTTTTGTTATATTTTTATCTGCTTTTTTCCTTAACTTGTGTCAATTTTGGTGGTGTAAAATAACAAACAACCTAAAAGAAAAAAGAAAAGAAAAACAGTAAAATATTTAGTTATATCATTTTTTTGAAAAAATTTTTCTTTTTTTAATTTTCAATTTATTTTAGTTTATTTTATTTAGATTTTCTATTTTGTATAGTATTCATTTCTTTTCTTCAAGTATTGCTGTTTTTTTTATCTTTAGTTTCTTATAGCTTTTTTTTTGCAGCAAATTCTTAGAATGCTTAATATACAAAATCGTTATCAAGTTGTCTAAAAAAATTACTTTAAACATGGACAAACAAGTCATGCGACCGCACAAGCTTTCCGGGAAGACTTGAATTATTTTTAAGCTTTGAAAAAAAAGATGATTATTTATCTTTTTATTTAAAATATTAGGAAATGCCAATGGACGATACATATTTACTACAAACGATCCAGGTTTGTAAGCAGAAAATTTTTCAAGAGTAGAACGCAATGCTATAGCTCTGTAAAGGGCCTCCTCAAAGTCCTAGATAAGTCCTTTATATAACTTTTCCAAGTAACTTGTATAATATGAAGATGCCTAAATCAGTTTTCCACCTAATATCTTGCAATGGAGAAAAGATGAATTGAGATGATTTGGGGCATGTACGGAGTGCAATATTAAACTTATTTCTTTGCTTTCCGTGCTCACTTTTCAAAAGCAAGCAAGCTTGTGGAATTTATAACTATTTGCATCCTCTACATTGGAATTGTGGCATTAATGGAAACTGAAGAAAGCTAGATGACAGGGTAAAAATGCCACCAAAACAATCATAATCATCGAGACTATTAGATTAAGTGGAAAACGGTGTTTGACAGTTTGAAAAATTAGTGTGAGATCAACTTTAGTCTGGAAAAATCTATAAGAAATTAGGCAGCCAGGTTGCATGAAATTCTATGGCGCATAAAATATTGTTTCTGTTACTATCAAGATGTAACTCTCTTCTAAGCATCACACAACCTTAGCTTTAGAGGTGTGTGTATGAACGTCAACTACTATGAATATGTCAAAAACATTTTTTTGTTGTAATTTGGACTTATAACACAGTGAATTAAAAAAATGTGTAAAAAATAGCAGTCTTCTTGACTGTAGTGGTCCCCTCAGACTTGGGAAGGTGAACTCAGAAAAAATTCTTTTACAATTTCTATTGGTAATCAAACATTTTTGGAACAATGGGATATGGTGTGGTGCTAGCCAAATTTTAACCCAAGGCATCATTAAGAGTCACGGTAGGCCTGATGCATATACATATATATATCACAGGCTATTCTAGACCATTTTCGATAGCGTCGACCACTATCGAAAATAAAATTAGAGGACCTTTTTTTTTTTATACATTTTTTATGACAGATATTTTTTTTTTGCGAAAAAATGACTATATTCGGCAACATTTCTACTAAATTTTTTTGGGACATAGGGGTATTTTTCCTAAAATAGCCCATGTATATATACATATACATATATATATATATATATATATATATATATATATATATATATATATATATATATATATATATATATATATATATATATATATATATATATATATACATATACATATACATATACATATACATATACATATATATATATATACATATATATATATATATATATATATATATATATATATATATATATATATATATATATATATATATATATATATATATAAATATATATGTATATATATATATATATATATATATATATATGTACAGTATTGGACAAAACATTTGCAACCAACATCGAATAATACTAAAAAGTGTTGCTAATTTTACATGTCTTAAAAACAAAATGAACTATACTACCACAGCAAACAGTTCAGGCGCCTGGAGTCATAAACATGCCATGACATGAGCAATCAGCTGACAGGTGACAGCACACAGGCAGAATTTTATTGTCACGTGCTATTTTGCAGCGGACAAAACAAGTGCAACTTTTTTGGTTTGTTTTATTTTCTTAAGTCTGGCCGTGTCATTGTCATGGATGTTTTTAATAATTAAAGGAAGTATTCAGAAGTTTCCAGAAGCATGCAGAAGCTTCCAGAAGTCCAGAAGAAGCATCTGTAAGCATCCAGAAGCATCCAGAAACATTCAGAAGCATCCAGACACATCCAGAAGCTTCCAGAAGCATTGAAAATAAGCATCTAGAATCTTCCAGAACAGGTTCACACAACTTCATTTTACTATATAAGAGACATGTAAACCAACATGTAATTCAGTCAGTATATGGAAGTCAATCAGTCAGTATTATCAAGACAGTTTATCGAAAGAAGTTTTATCAAAGTGTTTTATCGAAAAACATCAATACAAGAAGTGAAATACAACAAGTGTTTCATTACATCAATACAGTCCACATCCAACCAAGATTTTATGTTCCACAGAGCATTATTGTATTATCACAAGGTAAATGTAACACGGTAAGCCTTGGGAAGCGTGATTATATATTTTTATTATTTTTATGACTTTAAGTGCAAATTGGAACTAAGAAAGAAAATTATTGGCGATTACATAAGTGGAATGTCACAAAAAAGTATTTGTGATAAATATCACGTGAAAAAATAGACCGTATCAAGACTATGTTCCGAATATCGTTCTACAGGGAAGTTGGCAGCAGATAACAAAAGTGAAAGACCGCGTTCCACCACTTCTAGAGAGGATTCTATGATCTTCAGATCCAGTTACTGCTATAAAACCGTGAAGCATGGTGGAGGCAATGTAATGGTCTAGGGGTGTTTTTCTGCTAACGGTCTAGGTCCAATACATCGAATCAATGGAATAATGGACTGTTTCACATATTAAAATATTCTGAAAGACGTTATGTTACCTCATGTTGAATGGAATATGCCAATAAAATGGGTTTTTCAGCAAGACAATGTTCCGAAACACACTGCAAAAGTAGTCAAGCAGTGGTTTCAAGACAATCACTTATCGGTGATGGATTGGCCGCCTCAATTTCTGGATCTCAACCCTATCGAGAACCTGTCAACCGCAGAAATAATCGTGAAGGTGTTCGTAATAAGGATCAATTGTTTGAACAAACCCAAAAGGCCTGGGCAATGATTCCACAAAGTTTCATTGACCACCTGATTGAATCTATGCCTCGAAGCTGTAAGGCTGTGATCGACAACATAGGATTCGCCATGAAATATTGATAGTGATAAGGCTGTGATCGAAAACATAGGATTCGCCATGAAATATTGATAGAGAAATACAGCTTGGTCAACATTTTATGGAGTTAAACTTGTTTTGTCCTGAAGGAAATCAACTTTTTTTAAATACTTTTGATTAACTTATTAATTTTTGTGTACATATAATGAACTTTGTAACGAATAAAACCTGAAGAACGTTGTATCTATACAGTTACATAGTTATTTCTCTAAATTGAAAAAATGCAGCTTTTATATAAAGAAACTACATATATATATATATATATATATATATATATATATATATATATATATATATATATATATATATATATATATATATATATATATATATATATATATATATATATATATATATATATATTACATATACATATATATGCATATATATATACATATATATACATATAAATATATATATATATACAGTATATATACATATATAATGTATATATATACATATATATATATATATATATATGTATATATATACATATATATACATATATATATATATATATATATATATATATATATATATATATATATATATATATATATATATATATATATATATATATATATATATATATATATACAGTATATATTTATATATATATAAATATATATGCATATATATATATACATATATATACATATTTATAAATAAATATATATATCTAGTATATATATATATATATATATATATATATATATATATATACTATATATATATATATATACAGTATATATTTATATATATATAAATATATATGCATATATATATACATATATATACATATTTATAAATAAATATATATATCTAGTATATATATATATATATATATATATATATATATATATATATATATATATATATATATATATATATATATATATATATATATATATATATATATATATATATATATATATATATATATAGTATATATTTATATATTTGTACATATATATAAATATATATGCATATATATATATATATATACATATATATACATATTTATAAACAAATATATAAATCTAGTTTATATATATATATATATATATATATATACAGGCTTGGTTGGGAAGCGGAAGCTCTCGCTCTCGAATACTGACCACGGAAATTATATTTAGTTGCGTAAAACTGGCCAGGTTTTTTAGTCGTTTTGAGAACATTTAAGTTTATGTACGAAACAAAGAATTTTTGTTTTACGGACATACATGGAAACATAATAAACTAGAATGTTCTCAAATTATCTTCGTGCGAAAGAATAAAAAGAATATTTACGAACACTAAAAACCCGCCAAATTAACAAACAAACTAATTCTATTGGTTCAAAAAATACGCTGATTAAGCAAAATAAAGTTCTAGAGTATTCTGTTAAAATGTTTTAGCAATTGTATTATTCATGATTTGTTACGTTTTGAGATTTCTAGTATTGTTTTAAGAATACAGGCTTGGTCGGGAAGCGGGAGCGATCGCCCTCGATTGCTGACCACGTAAATAATATTTAGTTGCGAAAAGCTGGCCAGATTTTTTAGTCGTTTTGAGAACATTTTAAAAAGCAAAAAAAAAAAAGCGACTAAAATAAATTGGACCGATGAGAGACAATTGCAAAAAAAAAAAAATGTAGGCAAATAAACTTTTAAAATTTTAATATTTTAATTAATATATATTTAAAACAAACCGATGTTTAGAAAATATTTGTTCTAAATGTAATTTAATTAGCTTAAGGTTTTTTCGCGTTTAAAGATATTTTATTTGCCTACTTTTTTTTTTTTTGTAATTGTCTCTCATCGGTCTAAAATGTTCTCAAAACGACTAAAAAATCTGGCCAGCTTTTCGCTAACTAAATATTATTTACGTGGTCAGCAATCGAGAGCGATCGCTTCCGCTTCCCGACCAAGCCTATATATATATATATATATATATATATATATATATATATATATATATATATATATATATATATATATACTAGATATATATATATATATATATATATATATATATTATATATATATATGCATATATATATACATATATATATATATGCATATATATATATACATATATATATATATATATATACATATTTATAAATAAATATATATATATATATATCTAGTATATATATATATATATATATATATATATATATATATATATATATATATATATATATATATATATATATATATATATATATATATATATATATATATATATATATATTAATTCCTGATATATATATATATATATATATATATATATATATATATATATTAATTCCTGATATATATATATATATATATATATATATATATATATATATATATATATATATATATATATATATATATATATATATATATATATATATATCAGGAATTTTTATTTTAGGAAAAAAAAAACCCTTAACTCATAATTAAATTGAAATTATTACACAATTTAATATTATTAATAAACTTATATAAACAAATAAAATTTTAATTTCGTTAAATGTTTGCTGTTAATGTTTTATATAAAAAAGTCTCATCACAAATCCTCATTTATTGTTCATAAAAATTAGCGCAACATTCAACAGAATGACGTAAGTTGACATGAAAAAACCAAGGCCTGATATATATATATATATATATATATATATATATATATATATATATATATATATATATATATATATATATATATATATATATATGTATATGCAGGCTTTGACAGGACAATTGAACAATACAATTGAACAAAATTCACTCAAGAGTAAAGAAACAAATTGAACTAAAAACAAAGAACTATAAAAAAAAAACACACACACAAGTGAAATACATGCATATAGCTCAAAGCAAGAAAATAAGTGTGATGAAACTTAGAAAAATTAGAAAAACTTAGAAAAACTATTTTTTTAACTTAACAATTATCCAACTAATGTAACTCGTTTAGGTTTAATTACATGAGTTTTTAAACAATTTGTTGCTCCTCCACTTGTTATTATAGTGCTTGCCGAAATTTTCATATTTCATATTTCACATTTTTATTATATGAAGAAGGAACTTTTAAATTTCTTTTGCCGACCTGATGCTGACCTCTAAAAGATTGAGGTTGGCAAATTATTGCCGACATCTTTTTTTCCTAATTCTAAGGGTTCAATTATTTTTAATAATTGAAGATTATCATTCAAACGTTTACTTTTTTTTTCATTAACAACTTAATTATAAAAATCAATTTTTAATTCAACTCAATTAATAATTTCTATTTTTAGCTAAACTACAAACCGATTCTTTCGAACTTTAGACTGATTTTTTCTGGGCGGAGGCAGCTTAAACTCCTCGATTGCTTCTTCAGAATCTGAACCATGATCCAAATTTAAAAGCATTTCTTTATCCTTGCTCATTTTTTACAACTATAAAAAAATCCGTAAATATAATTAAACCACTTAGAAGTTTACCTCAAAATTACCTCAGCCCTAAAGGCTATTAAACCAGATGGTTAGTTTACAATCCAAAGTACATGCCTTAGAAGTCAAATGATATTTAGGGCTTTTGAATTAAGAAGGAAATGTGTATATTTATATAGTTACATCAATTATTAGGATTACATAAAATTTGTTTATATAAGAAAAATATTAATGATAAATAATAATGTGTTCATATATTAACTTCTAAATATGTTATTCAAAAACTGATGTTTATGAAAGTTTATGTTTGCTTTTCCAAAAACCTTGTGTAACTATCTCTCTAATTATTATCTCTAGCTGTTCAAATAAGCAAGAAATAGACTGAAATAAAAAATATGGCCTTTTAATTTGTACAATATAAAAAAGTAAATAAAAACTAGAAAAACTTTCATTTTGTCAAGCAAAATACAATACATGGGTAAGTTATTGGGATATAAGATTTTGTGTGGTATTGCAATATAAGACTTTAAGCAACTACACACACACAAAAATTACTAAATTCATAAAATTACTAAATTTATGACTTTAAGCAACTACACACACACAAAAATTTTACTAAACAAGTTTTTGTCAAAGCTGTTAGTAAATTCACAATAACTTACCCATGTATTGTATTTTTCTTGACTAAATGAAAGTTTTTCTAGTTTTTATTTACTTTTTTATATTGTACAAAATTAAAGGCCATATTATATATTCCAGCCTATTTCTTGCTTATTTGAAGAGTTGAAATGTGATTAAACTGGTCATGAACAATTTTATACAAACATTAACTAAAAATTGTCAAACTAACATACAAATTAATAAAATAAAGAAAAGTAGTATCAAAATGGCACCTATTTTTTCTTACAAAAACTTTCTTTTGTAAGAAAAAATAGGTGCCAAAAAATTTTGATGCAAATAACTATTCAAAAAAAACAACTTTTTAAAAGGAAAAAAATTAATTTATCTAATTTAACTTAATTAATATATTTAATTTAATTATTTATTGAACATAAAAGATATATTAAACATATTATTGAACATATTAGATTTATTAAACATATTATTAAACATAATAATATTGAATATAATTAATCTATTATACAACAATAAAACAAATAACCAAGGAAATCTAATATAAAGAAAAATAAATCTACTACTCAATATTGGAACTGACGAATAAACATTTTTGTGCAGATTAAGTCATTGGATTGTTGATATAGTTTTTCTTATATTAGAAAAAATTGTCTTCACAGACGATTTTTTTGTAACTCTGGTTAATTTTATGAGCTGAAGCCATTAAAAATGCGTTTGTGGAGATTAAGGATAAACTTTCTTAAGTTGTTTATATTTTTTAAAAATTAGAAGTTTTTTGAAACTTTGACCTACTCATTTAATAAGGCAGGTAGGAGTAATTGGTTTAGTTAGCAACTGTTCCTGTTATCTCCTAATAAGGGTACAGCAAACACTAACTGTTTTAATATATCTTTTACTATTATTCGTGGTCTGTGAAGCAACCATCCATCAGTTGAATCTTACCTGCAAAGTTTACAAGACTTGCTTGCTCTAAGTAAGACTAATTTAAATCCTGCTATTCTTTCTTCTGATCTCAGTGTTCATGAGTACTATCCTTTTCGGACTCACCCTATCACCGCACTACTTACTACTACCCTAAAGCTGACTGGCTGAAATTCTATTCTTGATATTCTTTGTGATGGACATTGTGTTGATGCCGTTTCCCTCTCAGCTAAAAATGTGCTATTGTAATCATTTTTTTCATCTTTTTTAAAAGAACAATTCTATTGAGAACAAACAGCTATTTATTATTGGAAGAAATTGATGTAAATAGGTGCTGTCAGATGCTAAGCTCCATTATTCTCAGTTCACTAAATCTCGTTAGAAATTAGGCTCTAGAGACTTTTGGAAAATCTTACTTAATTATTTAAAACTATGAAATTGAAAAAAAATTAAACTAGGATTGTTTCAAACAGATGCAACTTAAATGACTTTTTTCATCAAAAATATTGTATCAAACAAAAATATTGCTTACATGTCCTGATAGAGAAAGTTTTTCTATAAATAAAATTGTTTTTTACATATTTCTTAATACTTTTGTTCAAATTAAGTAAAACTGAGCAACTTAATATAGTGACCAAAAATACACTGACTATGCACAATACGAATATATAACAACTTAATGCACAAGCCATAACTTTAACATAAAAAATAAAAAAAAAATCAGGATTCAGGTTAACTTAAAAACTAAAATTTGCAGAATATATTAATACCCTGCAATTCTAAACCACCCTCGTCATCACCATCGTCGTCGTCATCTTCTTAAAATTGATTTTACAAAACTGAGGAAAAAGTCTCATTGAAGATTTTCTATAGCTTTAGCAACTGCAATAATCTATTTATAAATAACCTTATACTTTATTACCTTGTTCGTAGAATATTTTAATTTTAATGTTAGCAGTGTTTTAGTTTTAGTTATTTTTTTAACAGCGTATTGAGTAATAACATAAAATAACATACAAATACAAATTTGCGAATCCAAGCAAAATAAAAATTTAATTGAAACGTTTCCGACCGACATTCGCGGTCATTATTTGTCAGCTTACTGTTACACGATTGGTCTAAACAAAAAATTACATAATTAAACGACGTTGTTAAAAACAGTTCTTCATTTAATTGTAATTCTTTATTTTAAATGCTGAGTAATAGATTACCAAGATTTGAAAAAATTTAATTTAAGTAAATTGTTATTTAAAATTGACTATATCGCACAGTTTCGTTTCTAACTTTATAATAAACATTCTACTTTGATTTTCTAATAACCGTATATATGTTGTATTTAAATATTTAATAATATATAAGAATGAGACATGTAAGGATTCTCGTCACGTTCCATCAGCAATAATAAAAAGCTCCATCAACAACATCTCTTCTAGCATGAAGTGTCGTTCCTGCGTATGCTGTCCCAAAAGATATCGAGAGTAACTAAAAAATCACAAATTATCATCCATAGACCAGTATGTTTTATGAATCTACGAAAATATAAACGTGTAGATACCTGCCCGGTGGGAAATCAGCTAGCGAATAGCTAACTATAATCTTAACGATAAAGACAGCGATTTTGTCACGAGGATTGCTAGCTTTTTTAAGTTAGCGAAAAGCTATCAATATTTGTAAAGATAAAGTCAGACATTTGGTTAAGAGGAAAGCCAGCTTAATAAGCTAAAGACCCACTGGCTGTTGTAGCTAGCATCATATCGTAGTAAAGTCGTTGTCTAAAAAATTTGATATGTAGCTATCAACCAGCTATAGATTTGTAGATATTTTGTAGCTAGCTACAAAGCTACGATATGTAGCTAGCGACACATTGCTACAAAATCGCAATGTTTATCCTCATAATTATAATAGACTCAATACTAAAAATCGAATTTTTAAAGATGTTAAAGACATTAGGAAATAATTAAATAAAAAAAAAAATCGCTAGAAAATTGCTGTTAAGCTAGCTAGTCGCTAGCTCATTTCCCACCGGATGGACTACTTGGTCGGACATAGAGTTATTAAATGCTACATTTTGCCAGTGTACGTTTGTTTTGAGTTTTTTTTTTTTTAAACTTTTTTTGCAGCTTTTTTTTTTTTTCTACTTTTGGATCCTAAATTATGTCTTCGAAAACTGGACATAGCGTTATTACGTTAAGAAGTTTGAGAATTAAATAATTAAAAAAGTGGTTGAATTTCTATTGGTTAAATGTTACGTTAAATTAATTTAAATGTCTGTTCACTTATCATTACTACCTTAACACTTTTCACTTGCACACAGTGGGACGAAATCTTGATTTTGTGGCCAAAATTCCCAAATAACTTACACGAGAGTTTTCGAGGTCGCTGATTACGAATCTGAGGTCAGATTTAAAAAATTCAAAATGGCGGCTCCAATATGGCGGTCAAAACTGTTCATACATTGAAAATATGAAGTGAAATCTCATGTAGTTTGGTTGCTTACGATTTAGGAGTTAAATTAGAGCAAAACATTGTAAAATTATTGCTAAATTTACATTATTAATAAAAAAACAGAATAAAAAAATAAAAAAACAGAATAAAATTAAAATTTGTAGTTTTAATTTTATTCTTTTTTTTTAATTTATGCATTTATTATAGAGAAACATGATATAGGTTAAGCAATCAAATGTTAAGTCACATATATTCATTTCACATATATAGAGTCACATACACATATATGTAAAAAAATTATTTATTTAATTCTAGTAACAAAAAGCACGTCATATTCATCAATGTTCGAATCATTCGATTCGGAATCTGATGTTGAACCACTTGTATCTAAATCCTTGTCTCTTGTCTGGTGACTTCAGGTAGTTTTAACAGCTGTATAGCTTTTTGATGTTGAGATTTTGCTGGTCTCTGGGGAAATTTCCTGATGATTCACATTCTTTTTCACTTCCTCTTGACAAGCTTGCCACTTTTCAGTTGTTAGCTTATGCGACAAATGCAAACAGCATACAAAAAAACGAATCCATGCATGCAATGTAGATATGCCAAATTTTAAATTATCTGCAGTAATGTCCATTTTTATAATGTTATTAATGCCATTAAATTCTTTAAAGGAAGCTTTCCACAATGTTGGTAACTTCTTTCAATGTTGACTTTACATCTTCATGTACAAACTGCAATCGTATTGGTCTGCAGAATCGCGGAGATTATGGTGTAGGATTTTTCACACAATATTTGCTTCACCCGTCTCGTGATTGTTGTGTATTAATTGTAAAGGTACAAGAGAAGTACAAAAAATGCTTTCATTAGATTTTTCAGTCTCAGTAAATTTTTGTTTACAAACACTTTGACCGCTGCTTTCATTACTTCCATATTTACAGTGAAGTACTAATTTTTGCAGAATTTCCTGATTTAGAGAATCAATGACATCAGCCTGAAGTTGTATAATTCTAGATATGTTATGATCAAGCAAAGCTTGTAGTTCAATTTGTACACACGACTCACTAACAGTTGTGTACACAACTGATGAATAACAACGTTTTTTTGTTTTTTCTACTTCAAGGTATGATGGGTATAACTTGCATTTACTTGCTCTAGCTACATTGATAGTTGATAAGAATGCTTTGATTCTCCTTTCTCAATCATTAAAGAAAGTGTTTCGTCTGGGATTAAAGGTGCTCCATTTTGTGACCGAACAGCAGATATATATTTTGAGGCTCTTGTTATATATTTTGAGGCTCTTGTTTTGTTATTAACGTGACATTTTTAAAAACTTGAGCAACATGTACCTGACCAGAAGTCCTTAAACTCATTTGAGCAACAAATGCCAATTCTTCTGTAGAAAAAGTAGAACATACTTCTTGAGTCTTTTGCCTCTTTGATCTATTACTAGATGAAGCAAAGGATTGCGAAGGTCACCCACATATTTCTTTTTTATTATTATTCTTTACAATCTTCTCAGGTGTTGCGTATTCAGTATTGGATAGTTTTGAAAGTTGTACGGTGCCCTAAAACCATTCTTCATTTTTTTTCATAAAATATTTTTCTCATGTTCCTGCTGCTCTCCATCTCGATCAAAAATTTGAAAAATAACCGTGATAATGACATTTCATCCTCGCCTATTTGTATCACATGTTCCGTTTTTTTGAAAATTGCATCTGTAAAAACATCAATGATGAATTTATATTCATTTTTTAAACTGTCTTTCACCATAAAGAATATATCTTTTCTTGACAATTTGAAGATTTGAAAGACTCTGTATAAAAATACAGTTATAACTGCTGAGAATTCCTTGAGGACTATTTTTAAAAATTTTGAAATTATCATAAAAAGGAATGAAAAGAAAATTGTAAAGCATATAACTAAAATAAATTATTGTATTAAAATGCAATTAGTGGCATTAAATAGTGTTAGTTCACTAATTTACATGACCATTATAAGATATTAATCTATGTTAATAGACAGAAAATATTCCAAGGCGCTATAACGTAATAACAAATGGCGCGTTGCGTCCCCGTCCGCCTGTTAATGTCGCACCACGCATTCCTCTACAAAATTTAGTCTCACTGTTAAAATAGCTCTCAATGGCAGCCAGTTTTTGAATATGTTATATTTAACACTATACACTATCAACTCATTGTCGAAAGAAGGTGGATAACCGCGGTTAAATTTTTAAAACTACATTAGAAAATCAATTTTAAATACAAAAAAAATCAATTTTTCATGTTTACTTGTCGCGCGATTTAAATATTAAAAATATTAAAATTAGCAATACCTCCCCGGTTTAAAATTTTGTTCTAAGACTATCTGTAAACAAGATCTGAACATTAAAAAGACGAAAATGTAAAACTCAAAAATTTGACTTTTGGCCACGAAATCGAAATTTCATCCTACTGTGCAGGACGAAAAAAAAAAGATCCTCAAAACGGAAAGTTACCTGATTGAGTTGTGTCAAAAACCCGACTAGCCGACTTAATTCGAACCCCTCCTCCCGACACATACATACACACACTACTCCGCCGCACGTGCAACCTCGGATAATTTTTGCTTTACGGGAGGCAAATTGTTCAAACTTTCGTCTATCTCTTCATCTACCTCAGAACAATCGTTGATTAAAATGGAATCCAGAATTTCTCGATCTGTGATAGCGATTGCTTCGCTTGTACAAATATCAAAATCTATTTTTACGTAATCTTCAACAGCAAAATCTTTCTTTACTAAGCCACGTGATATAAACTCTTTGACGTTTTCTTCAATCAATTCAAAAGGATCTTCTTCACCATTTATACTTGCAACCGGAATTTCCTTTGAGATGCTTTTCTAAAACAATTTATTACAGTATAAGTCGATACAGCATACAGCATCCCATGACTAGACCAATATGCTTATAGCTTTAAGAATGTTGGTATTTGGGGTCGTTTTACCAGCATCGATGTATTTTATCTGACGCCTCACAACATTCGTGCGAATAAAAGTCTTCAATGCTCTTGTGACTTCCTGGTCCGTTGGTTGTTTTTTGGAGGTTGTGTTTGATGGTAAAAATACTACTTCAATTGCTTTGAGATTTCTAACATTAGGATGAGCTGGGCAGTTATCTATGATTAGTGCAACTTTTCTATCATCAGCATTAGCGTCAAGTCTTAAACTTAGCGTCAAGTCTCCTTACATAATCAGTAAAGATTTTAGATTCCATCCAGGAATTACTTTGGGACTTGTATTGACAAGGTAGGCTTTTGACACCTTTGAAACATCGTGGTTTTTCTGCTTTTCCAATTATAAACATAGCAACTTTTCACCAACCCCATTTCCTGCTGCTAAGCTGTTTAACTAACTTTGCTTAATTTTCCTTCTGTACAGCGCTCACCTTTTAGATGAAAGGTTTTTGTCGATGGTTGTTGATAAAATAAACCAAACTCGTCAGCGTTGTAAACATCTCTCAAATCATACCTTGAGAGGATAGTGGACAAATGGGTTTGCTTCCTACTTGATGTCTTTTCCGCTGTACATGACTTTTCCTCGCCAGAAATAGTTCAAAAAACAAGATTATGTCTATTTTTACACCGATCAAGCCACCCTTCTGAAGCCTTAAAATCTGCAATGTTGAGTTCTTTTGCAAAACCTAAAGCTCTTTCTCTAATGATATGTCCACCAATCGGTACATTTCGTACACGTGCCCTCATAAACCATTTATATACAGCTTTATCAACGGAATCATGTTTTCTTAAACTTAACTTTTGTCTCTTTGCTCCAAATTGACCTGACTCATACTTGCTAATTATGCCTTTTTTATGCGCAATCCAGTAAGTTAAAGTGTTTTTAGGAACACTGAACTTTTTTGCAATATTTTTTTTAGCTAATCCTTTTTCTAAATCTAAAGAGCACGATATTTTTCTTTGATTGTCAGAACTGTTTTCTTTTGTTTAGATGCCATGTTGAAACTTCTACCGCACTACTTTGCAATGTCTTCGATTTTTTAATTACATTTTAATGAATTATCTCGATAATATTTAATATATTTTGATAACGTTTGGTAACGTTGCGTTTTGAAATGCAATGGAATGGTATTTTCAAACAAACAAAAACTTCGAATAAACGCTTGCCTTAAAAATATTTCTTTTTTTTTTTCAATTTTGTCTTTTGATTGTTGTTTGAGTAATTTTTATAATTCCTAGAGCCAGGTTTTTTCTTATAAACCCAAACCAGGCGGACCTGTACACGGCGCACCCTAAACTCGGTGAAGTTCGTTAATTCTCGGAACGAATATTCTCGGTGTTCGCATTTGGTATTTTACAGAATAGGCGCTAAAATATTACGTTAATTCGCGCCATAATGGTAACGTCGAAAATAAAATAACAAAAACTTGTCGTAAATGCATTTTAATAAAAATTTAACATTTTATAAAAAAAATTAAATTTTACAAATTATCAACATATATACATTAAATATTAGATCAAATAGATCTTCTAAAGGTATCTTCTCTTCGTAAGATTTCTTTTTGTAGCTTATCTTTTTTTAATCGATCATCTAAAGGTATCTTCTCGTAGCTTCTCTTCTTTACATATCTTTTTGTGGCTAATCTTCTTTTAATCGATCTTTTACAGTTATCTTCTTGTAGCTTATCTTCTTTGCATATCTTTTTGTGGCTTATCTTCTTTAAGTTTTTGCAACGTATATTTCGTGTTGTACATAAAAAAAAAACAAGTTCAATATAAATATTATGAAACATTTTCAATGTAAATATTATATTATAATACTTATTTTACATTACAGAGAATACCTGTCATTAATATGTTTTAAGAATAAAGAGAAATTTTCCCAAACATTCTTATTATAAAAATCATAATATTCTCTGTATACAGCTTCATCTAGCCTAGACCACTTTAAATCACCCTGTGATCCAAAAACATACTTTAACCTTCGTTTCATCCTACACCAAAACGACTCAACATGATTTGTTGTTGCTCCAGTGTCAGGATCAACAAAGTTTATTGTATGGTTTACAGTAAAATGATTGTAACCTAAGTTATTTAAATTAGTATAAGAAGCCCACTGATCTGAATGTATTATTGATCCAGGTGCAACCCATTGTTGAATTATTGGCACTAATGTCTGAGCTGTTCAATCCTCTACCCTTCTTAAGTATCTTTTCTTACTAGTTACATCAAATGCCCCAAAAATCCAATGTTTTTCAACGTTATGCCCAACATTATATTTTCGTTTAAAAAATAAAGATTCATCTATTTCTACGATGAGCCCTGGACCACCTAATTGATTAACAGCAGCAACATCCATAGTTTTAAATGAACAAATATCCCGGAAGTATTGATACCACTGAATTGAGGTTTTTTCGTTTACACCTACTACCTCAGATGCAGCGGTTACAGGGACCTCCAGGATCCATAAAAACATTAATTGAAGTATCAGACTTACACTTAAAGATGTAGAGCTTTCAAAAAATCCTGCTCGAATTGACTTCGTCTTTTTGCAAGTGTTACATCGCCAAATATGTTTTTCCTTAAATAAAGTATTTTGAAGATACAAGGGATAATCTGTTTTGTGTAAATAATAATAAAAATGTTAAGTACTCATACTTGACAACGTTCATAATTTTGCACAAGCATCCTTTGACCACATAGACAAAGTTTTTGAAGTGGCATTAGCCTTTTTTGTTACAAAAAATCAACCAATTTTTCTTCTTTGATACTTTCAATGAACTCAGCTAAAGGTGTCTTATTACTTATTACTTATTACTTATTACTTTATTATAAAATCTTACTTATTTTAAAGGCGGTAAAAAATTGGCTTGGCCAATCATTAAACGGCAAAATTATTGTCTCGAACTTTACCGAGTTCGTTTACGAATTTCATCGAGTTTAGGGTGCGCCGAGTACAGGTCCGCCCCCAAACCATTATAACAATACTACAAAAAATTAGTAAGTTCTTAGTCACCCTACTAAACGTCATTTTTCACAAAAAAAATTAATTTGGGTTGAAAGTCAGCTAATGTTGTGAATGTTTTAAAATAACGCAGTATTATACTGCGTTATATTAAAACATTTTCGTCATAGAAACTATTATTTTGTCATAGAAACTATTATTTCGTCATAGAAACTATTATTTCGTCATAGAAACTATTATTTCGTCATAGAAACTATTAGAAATACTCTTTAAATACACTTTGTTGAAATTACAAAAACTTCTTTTCTGAAACAAATTGAACACGACTTCGAAGTATATTTAGTGAATAATAACATCTGTTGATTTGTTCAAGTATCCCCCGTCATTAGTCAAAACAAATGCATAGAAAAAACGCACGGTTTTTTATTTATGGTGCATAGAAGAAACTGAAAATGGTACGTTCAAAGTAACCTCAAATGTTAAAAGTCACCCTACTTCACTGAACTTAAATTCTATCCTTGTTAAGTAATGATAAAATATTTTCATTGTTTGATCTAGCAAATGATTGAGCTTTTTTTCAGAAATTATACACACTTCTAAAAATAACCATTCACTATGCACACTGCTAGAAACAAAAAAAAGAAATTTTTGCAAATTGTGTTAAGATAGTGTTTTGCGATTGCTAACCACCACTTGCAAGGTAGAAAAGTCTCTTACTGAGAAAGATTACTCTTTCACTGAATTAACTACACATTAAGGAAAAACATGATGTGTGTCACACATCACAATCTTTCTCAAAGCATTTAACTTTTTTTTTTTTTTTTTTTTGTTGTTCTCCCGGGAAATTAGTTTTGAAACGGGCATCAATAAAAAAGGCAACCGTATAATTGTCATTATCATTAAGGTTAAACCATTCTTTAGATTCAGGTTGTAAAGAAATAATTTCTAATAACTTTAAAGTTCTTTGTGCTATATCTATCTATAGAAACTTCTGAAACTACATCAGAAATGAAAGATATACCAAAGCCTGTTATTTTTGTAATCTTTTTGGTTTTAGGAGTACGATACATTTATAAACAACAATAGTTAAATAATCTAGTAATAGTAATCTAGTTAACAATATAATAACAACTTAGTAATAGTAGCCTAGTATCAATAGTTAAAGCAATTTGATGTAACTGTCAACAACTAATGCGTAAAGTGTCGCCAACTGCAAAAGAAACAAATACGCCAACAGCGTAAATAAAATATGCACTTCAATGTGTTGGTTCGAAATCTTAAAAATAAATAAATAAATAAATAATTGTCGCTGAATATTCGGTCACTATTTGTGACATCTCTTATTTTTACCGCAAACAATTTTAGACTTAGTTAAATCTTTTTTTTATTAATATAATATATAAATATTTATATATCAATATCATATAATATATACTTATTATATGGTATTGAAATTTTATGGATCCTAGTTAGAGCCTCTACTACCTATATAATACCAATTTTAAAATATTGTTCTTCAGTTAGATCAATAAACCAAATTGGATTAAGACAGTTAAAACTGTTCAAAAAAAATTCACAAAAAAATTAAGAACCTTAAATTTTTGCTTTATTATGATTGTCTACAACTGCTATTGAGTAGGCAGAGAAGCTTCTAGCTTTGTTCTCTGACTACTCAAAGGGCAGATAACAGCATTCATCATTATGCAAAAGCACATCCGTTTGCCAGTGCTTCTGAATTTTATCTTAAATATTCCCAAATTGTGTTGCACCAAGCGTTGTGACAATTAGTAGACTTATGTGCAAACAGTTTAACTTAAATAGCCATGTTTCGACAAAAAAAATCTTACCTTTCTCAAAAAAATATTAGAGACAGTATTGCCTTTTGTCAAAAATACAAGCACTGGCGGAAAATTGGAAGGATGTAATACTATTCAACAAATAACTGATCAAACAATTTGGTTGTCGTTCTAAAAGTGTTAGACGCCCACATTGCCAATGATACAACCCCGGTATTTGTTTTTTACTTTAAAACATTGCCCTAAACCATGATATGTGGTACCATTACAGAAAATCAAAGTATTGGTTATGGTTTATGTCTTCTAACACCACAATTAACAGCCATATTTATCTCCAAATACTAAAAAAACTTAAAATTATTATGAACATCACTAATGACCACACTTTTCAGCATGATGGAGCACCCTTTCACAGAGCCAAGCTTTTAAGCAGTTGGTTAAGTGAGAATGGGGTTGAGATCATTGGCCAATGGCCTGGTAACTCACCAAACCTCAATCTAATTAAAAATTTCAGGAATCATCTTGAAAATAAAGTTCAGAAACTAAGACCCTCATCTTCGGATAATTTACAAGAAAAAATTAGAAAGGTATGGACTCAATTTACGAGTTATAAATATTTAGAAAGTTCATTCACTCTATGCCTACCCGCTTAGCTAATTGTTTAAATGCTAAAGGACACCATAGTAAGTATTAACTTCAAATCTTCAGTTCATAAAACATTTACTAATGTTTTAAAGATATTATTTTTGTCAATTGTAATTGTTACTAATATATTTTGATAAAATAAATGAACAATTTAATAAAAATTGTATTTTTTATGCAATGTTCCAAACCTTTCATCATGACTGTAGTATTATCATCATCATCATCTTTCATTTTCGATAATAAAATTTAAATTGAACTCATTTTCGTTGTCCTGAAATATTTTTTCAGAACCGTTCTTCTTTAGACAACATCAAATTATCATATGAAGATTAAAAATGATTAATTTTTCCTTATAAAACAAACGAATCGATTTTCGCCATTTGAGAAACAAATTTTAGACTTGATTCAAAACAAATTTTAGACTTGATGAGTTAAAATTCTGTTCAAGTTTTTAAACTTCTCAAAAAATTTTGAAAACTATTTTTATTTTTTCTATATCTATATTTTAATCCCATTTTTATATACATTGCTGATATATGATCATTTAATACATTAGCCGAATTCTATTCTTTTTTTCTTTTTTTTCTTTCAGGAAATTGTAGTTAAAAAACAAAATATTTCGTTTTATTTTCATTTATTTTTAAACTATACTATCTTGAAATGATGATTAATATAATCAAAATTTTTTACTATAATAAAATTTTTTGTTTGGTGTTTTACTTTTACATATTTCGTCTTCTTGAACCTAGTTTTTGAAGACGAATTAGTTTTTCATCACCTGATTCAGGGGCGGATCCAGCATTTTTTGGTGTTTGAGATAGCTAACTTCCAGACATGGAGCAAACTCCAAACATTTATATGTTTATACTTATATCAAATAAGGATGGTTTGCAAAAATTTGCGATGATTGGAGCCTGGGAACAAAAAAGCCCCAAAATTTGAGACGTACCTGCCCCAAACGTGAGAGCAACAAGTTGATAAAATATTTTTTGTACTATTCTCAACAAGACTTATATTTATCAATAAATTTTAAATTCCATTGTAAAATATGTTAGCGCTCAAAAATTATGACCATATAAAAATTGTAACCCCCTCGAATTGAGGGGGATTCAAACTTTACATGGTCATAATTTTTGAACACTAAAATATTTTACAATGAAATTTAAAATTTTTGGATAAATGTAAGTCTTGTTGAGAATAGTACAAAAAATATTTTATCAACTTGTTGCTCTCACGTTTGGGGCAGGTACGTCTCAAATTTTGGGGCTTTTTTGTTCCCAGGCTCCAATCATCACAATTTTTTGCAAACCATCCTTATTTGATATAAGTATAAACATATAAATGTTTGGAGTTTGCTCCATGTCTGGAAGTTAGCTATCTCAAACACCAAAAAATGCTGGATCCGCCCCTGTGATTTATTATTACTCAAAACATTTCGCCAAACTTGCTTTATATTTTCCGGGCATATAATATGTCTGGAAACATGAAACAGCAAATACGTCAAATACGTCAAATAGAGTCTTTTGATAGAACAGCAAATATGTGACATATTTACTGTTCCATCAAAAGACTCACCTATAATGTTCTTCAAATCCAAACCAACTCTCGTTAACGCAGTTTTTATAACCTGATACTATGCTTTGTCCGTAGAAGAATCCAATGAAACTAAACGTTTTTTCTTGAATGCAACCTCCAACAATATATCGTACATATCATTTAATAGCGCTATTATAAAATAAAGTTTCAATTTCACACATTTGCAACAGAATTAACATAAATAATTTTACAAAATGTATTTATTTTGTGTGTTGTAATAACAAATGTTACTGAAACTATTCGTTTTTCCAGTACCTAAACGCCTGGTTATTTCATTACATTATCACCTTGTTAGTTTAAACTTTATTATAAAAAAAAAACTTAACGAATAAAATGCAACCTTTGAGAATTGTTAACTGCTTTGATAATATATTCTGAATTAACTATAAATATGTACCCAAGTTTTTAAAAATCTACATTCAAAACATCCAAACACAAACTAATGTATATTTGTTTAAGAAAAATTACTTTTAATTACATAAATCTATAAAATTTCACAATTTCGAATCTGGATGCAATCCCAAAATCTTTTATTTGTAAAAAAATTATAACAAACATGATTTTGAAACAAATTCAACTGCTTTAAATAGTCTATTTGGTTAGTACCTTTTTGCACAGGTAGTTTTAATACCTGGTTATTTTGGTACCAATCTCTCATAATGAGTTTACTTTATTACGTAAGATTACTGAGAAGACACAGTTAGGCGAATAAATATTTACTAGTCATTGAACCTTTTGACAAATAAGGCATATTTGGAAGTAGAAGGGCTTAGGGTGCACCCCAGCATCCCGGGCCAGTCCGCGACTGTTTTAGAACATCTCTTTGTTGTTCTCATAAATTTCTAAAAATAAAAAAAAAAATAAAATAAAAAATTTTTAAATAAATTTCACTTAAGGTAAATTTTTTTTTTTTGTTTTACTATTCGCTTTATTTACATTTTTTTTCTTTGACACCTTTTATCTTTTCTATTAAATAAAAAAAATTAGTGTTCCAGGCACCGTACCGTCTACATTTAAAGATTTTATTGTGTGTTCCGTTCTGTTAATTTCACTACAAATGCGTAAATGATATACGGGCATCTTTACAAAATGGCAACGTTCTGCTAAGTCACTTCACCTAAGCGGGTTTTTAATTTAAATCAAGTTTTGCATGCTATCTACCAAAAGAATAACGATACAATTTGATTTTTCTGTTATATTTGATTATTGGTTCATAATATATAAGAATGTTGATTACTTTAAAAACGCTGCAACAAAAGACGTTTAAAATTGAAGTTGACGAAAATGACAAGGTATATACAGTAACTTTCAGTCATCAACTTTTTGTAATAATTTAATGTTTTATAAATAATTTATATTATTAATTTTTATTTTTTATTTTTCTAAAAACTATAAAGTGTTTTTTATGACTTATCTATAATTTTTATTGGTGAAAAAATAGTATCGAGTTAAATTGCATTAAATGTATTTATTTATACCTTTAAAAAACTTCGATTAAAACTTACATTCGAATACTAAAACTAAACTTGGAGCATGTACGCTTTTACACCACATTTTAATCCACAGATTAGTTTTCTGATTTTGAAAAGATTGTAACTTAAAAAGAAAGGAAATGGTAATCAATTCCACAAAATAAAATGTAAATTTGTGAAGATATTTTGAAAATTATTTTCAAATTGCCTTTTTTAATAAACCCCTAGGTCTCAATATCAAAATGATTTTTGATTCTGAAATTTTAAATTAGTTTTTTTAGTCACAATATTTAAAAATGAAGTTAAACAGTTAAGAAAAACAAGAGTTTAGTATAATGCCAAAGTTTATTAAAAAATAAAAATAAAAGTAAATTTAAAAAGTATAACTTTTTAAATCTACTTTTATTCATGGTAATTTGACTTTTAGTTATATTACCAGATGGTAATTTAACTAAAATTCAAATTACCATTTGGTAATTTGAATTTTATTTTATTTTGCAATTAAAGGGTGCTACTCAAGTTCCTACACCATCTCCTGTTTTTAAGAGTAATTATGTTGAAATTTATTATGCTGATTCAGAATCATAACTCTGAAAATTTTAGTTAGTACTTAATTTGAAATTAAAAAAATTATTAAAAATGACAGTTAAACTCCTATTTATTCAAATAAATTTGTTTTTTAAGAAAAAATTTAAAGCAACTTTTATTGTTTTTATTCCTAACAAATAGCAAAACAGTTTTAAATCTTTATTATGGCAAAGTACTATTAGTTTCTGATTTATTTACATCAGGGAATATCTTTTTCCGGATATTTCCGGAATTCCGGATATTTTTTCCAAAAAATAGTTTTTCCGGATATCCAAAATGTTTTCTCATACATTCAAGTTTATATAATATTTGTTTTAATGTATATACACTTTTCGTTTTCAGTGATCAGCCATAAAAAAAATGTCAAAAATGTCTATAAAAGTTCTGAAACCTACCAGCTGAGAGCAAAATTAGGAGATTAGTAAGGGAAAATATGTTCCGGATTTTTCCAGATATTTTACATAAACTATATTTTCCGGATTTTTAAAAAATGACCTGGATGATCACTGATTTACATATACATGTGATTATTGCATGTAATTTAATTATTTCATATAAATAAGCTTATGTATGTACATTTAATAAAGCTTATATCTATGTATCAGTTGATATTAGAACATTTAATTAGATCTATCTCTATTTTTCAGTATGTACAATTATTTATGCTAATATATGTCAGTTGATGCATGTACTAAAAAGCATGTACTTTTCTAAAAAAAGTATTTTATTTAAAAAATAAAATAAAATTAAGGAAAAAGTATAACTCTTTTAACAATGAAATACAACTGCTTGTATATGTATATATATGTGTATATATATATATATATATATATATATATATATATATATATATATAAACACTCACACACACACACACACACACACACACACACACACACACACACACACACACACACACACACACACAGTGGTTGGCAAAAATTATTAGTTACACTTGCAAAAATTATAATATTAACCATTATAAGCTCTTTTACGTTTCTTATGTTAAATTTTTATATATGCTGCAAGCTTAAATAAATGATTTTCTTTAAAAAGTAAAACACTATTACTATTTTTAAGAATTTATTTAAGAAAACTCATAATACAAATTGTTTTTAGTATTTGGTTGGGCTGCCTTTCCCATCAATAACTGCTTTTATCCTTCTTGACATATTTTGGATGCAGTTCTTTACATTTGCTTTTAATTCCTGATCATTGTGCCAGGCATTATATTTAGTGCTTCTATGAGATTTTTTCTATTGGTTATAGTTTTGTGCCTAATTATCAGCTTTAAAAGTTCCCAGGCGTTCTTTATTGGGTTTGAGTCGGAAGAATTGCCAGGCCATGGTAAACAATTAAATTTTTGACTTTAAATATCTTGTCACTGATTTAGCTTTATGTCATGGGGCAGAATCATGCATAAAGATAAATTTGGATGGATCAGGAAACTAATCATGTAACTGAGGAATTATTTTAGTAGTTGATACTTTTTTTTATATTTATCCTGGTTCATCATCCCTTCAACTATATAAAAAAGGCCACTACCTTTACCTCTTATAACTGACCAAACCATCACTTTTAGAGGGTGTTTTACCTTTTCCATTACACAGTCTGGGTTATATTTTTCTTTTTTCTTTTGTCTAACAAAAGAAGACCTATTAATATTTCGAAATATTATATTTATTACACACACGTTATTGCAAATAACGAATATGAAAGAAGATGCATTTAACATGTTTTTGCATATTCTAGCTTACAAATGCTAAAAATTGCCACAATTATTTATAAATATTACAACTCTCTCTCTCTCTCTCTCTATATATATATATATATATATATATATATATATATATATATATATATATATATATATATATATATATATATATATATATATATATATATATATATATATATATATATATATTGGTGGAAACATTGCAGTATGTAGGCATTTTTTCGTGAAAAAAAAGCAATATTTGCTTTATAAATATATATAAAAAAAGTTCTTAATTACTGAATTTAAGCAGCACCAAAATGTCACCTAAATATGTTCAATGCTGTTCAATATTTAATGTATAGTTTTTTTTATAGTATTATTGCAAATAAATACACGTTCAATCAAAAAAATTAATTGAAAAGACCTTTAATCTCAATGAAGGTTTTTTCATTTCAAAGAAATCTCAGAGATTATCTTTTTCTGGATATTTCTATAAATCTTTTTTTTTTCTGGATATCCAATAGTTATTCAGAAAAACAAGTTGAAAATATTTTTTTGTCATCAAATAATTAAAACAGTTAAGGTAATATGAGTCTTTATATAATTTTTATTTATTATTTATTTTTATTTATTATTTTTATTTTTAGATTGATTAATTTATAAACTCTTATTTAAATAAGTATTGAAATATTATTCTTTGATATAAGAGAATAAAATATAAGAGAATGCCAAAACCTTTCTTTTTAAACGTTATTTTTAGTTACTTGTAATGCATTTTTTTTCTGGATTTCTTTGGGTATTTTTTTAAAATAATTTTCTGGAATATTAGAAAAAAAAAAAAAACAAGATTTTTCAAGTATGACCAGGATAATTATTGTTTTTATTATTTTAATATATAAATTAGGGAGCAATAAATTACTTTTATACTCTGAATTAAAGACTTATCACTTTGAGGGTTTTTTATTAATTATTCTCTTTACTATTTATTAACTATTTTGTTTACTATTTAATAGTTTACTATTTAATAGGGATATTTTGGTGCTGTTTGTTTAATAAAAAAAACTTATTAATATTTGAACAAAATGATGATTTTAATAATTTTTAATTACCACATAAATTCTTTGCTCTTTGTTAAAATTGTAAAATGGCAATATAGATTTAACAAGTATGTGAGTACTAAGACATTATGTATGTATGTGTGTTATATGTGAGTACTACATTATGTATGTATGTGTGTGATATTTGAGTACTAAGACATTATGTATGTATGTGGGTTGTGTATGTATTATGTATGTATATATATATATATATATATATATATATATATATATATATATATATATATATATATATATATATATATATATATATATATATATATATATTATATTATATTTTATGGACTAAGTACAATATACTACTAAGTAACTACATTAATAGTTACAAATAACTACAATATACTACTAAGTAACTACATTAGTAATTATATATAATTACTTTTTGACTTAGTAAAATAACAATGCAATTTAATAAACTTTTTTGTAAATTTTTATTGTGTCATTTTGCTTGTTATTATTTTTTTATATTTTGCTTTTCTTAATTTTTATTATTCAATCTACTGATTAGTTAAACATCTATTTCTTTTATTATTTTATTAACACTCAAGGCTTAAATTAAGTGGTCGCAATATCTAAAAATGCTTCCGGTCTTTGAATTTTTTTAGCTTTTTAAAAACCCTAAACTCTATTTTTATTAATAAACTCATTAGCTGTTATTTAAATAAAAAATACTTATATTGGTCATGAATTATGGTATAAAATCTTATTATAAAACCATATTATTACTATTATTGTTAAAAATTATGATTTAAACTTTAATATTTTAATTCATTTTATAAATCATCAGATAAAACTAGAAAAATAAAGCAGACAGTACAATGTAGTATTCAAAAATAACTGCAAATCATAACAGCCTAAAGGAATTTAATGCTGATTAAATATTTTAGATAAAATAAGTCACAAAATAAGATAAAATTACTTAACAAAATACTTTTATTTAATACTTAATGAAAACTTTTTCAACATTTTCTTATAAATTAAATGTTTGTATCTCTTTAGCAGATATGTATACAAAATTAAAGACAAATAAATTTTTTGTATTATTTCTATTATCAATTAATTTTTAATTTGAAATATTTATATTTTTAAATAATTCCTCTAAGTTTCTCATAAACAAAAATTAATTTTAATGTTTCATACAATTGGCAAAAAGCTTTAGTATAATTATTTTTTGGTTGATTTTTTAATTAAGTTGCAAATTTTTCAGACTCTAAGTAATTTTTTTTTTTTTTTAATCTTTTTTTTTTTCAATTTATAATCTTTAAATTACTTAGTGTTCAAACAAACAATAATTTTAAGTATGTAAGTTTAGACTGTTATAGTTTTTGCAGTAGTAAATTTATTGTTTTGTTTTTTCATTAATTTTTGCAATATGATAAATTGATTGTTTTAATAAACTGAATCCAATCGCTAAATTTGAGTCTTGACATCTATTTATTGCCTAACTTTATTCACTAGTTTAACATACTCAATATTTTATGTAGTTTAGTATAAAATATTCAACTCATTTAATATACCCAAGTTTAATTTAAAGAAATTTTATGTTGCATTATTGCTATTTTATTTTATTGTAGGTTTTTGCACTTAAAGAATTGATTGCTAAAGAAAAAGGATCAGAGTTTCCAATTGAATGCCAGCGACTAATTTATTCGGGTAATTGAGTTGTTGTATGCTGCAAAAATTCCTTAAATAGTTTGTCTTTTTTAATATTACAAATTTTCATTTGGCATACAAAATAGTTTTTTCTTGTTTATTTTTATTCACAAACAGCAGTTCAATTTGTTATATTACTATTACATTTTGATGATTTGTAAGTTTATTGATAGTTTATTGCATCAAGAAGCAAATAATAAAACATGTCTGATTGCAAATTATTTTGCTACAAATTTTTAAAAATATTTGAATACATTAAAAACTAATAATTATAAAATATTTAGCCAAGATGAAAAATGTAATATAGCTAACATTTTTGTCATTACTTGTAAGTAAAAATGCCACTTTATATTTTTATTAAATTGTGAAATTTTGGGCAATAACAGTTTTATATTGATTTATTATTATTATTAATAATAATAATAATAATAATAATAATAATAATAATAATAATAATAATAATAATAATAATAATAATAATAATAATTATTATAATAATAATAATAATAATGATAATAACAATAATAATAATAACAATAATAATAACATTAATAATAATAATAATAATAATAATAATAATAATAATAATAATAATAATAATAATAATAATAATAATAATAATAATAGCAATAATAATAATACTTATAATGACTTTAAAATGTGTTTGGTAGTTGACCGAAAATATACTTTTTTAAAAAAGCAAAACAAATTTTTAAAGTTGTAATTAGTGATTTCGCCGGTTATCCGGTTTTGCGGTTAACCGGATTTTGTTCGAATATCAAATATCTATTTTCAAATAATAAATACCAACTTAAAAATTTTACAAAATTTTATAGAAAGTAACATTGTAATTATTGTTTGACAAATGTTAATTTATCAAAGATTATAATATATTTCTTTTATTAATTTAAATGTTAATTTAATCAGTTTTGTTTGATAATATATTCTTAAAACAATTTACAATAAAAATCTCAAAGATTTATTTATTACTTTTACAACTCAAGCAATACATTTTTAAGAAAGTTTCTTCAGAATATTATGGAACGTATACGCTTATTCAGCGTATTTTATGAACCAATAGAATTTGTTTATTCGTAGATTTGGCGGTATTTTAGTGTTAGCAAATATTCTTTATATTATCTTTACGCAACAAGTTGTTATGAGAACATTCAAGTTTATCTTTAAGTTTCCATCTATGTCCGCATAACAATAAGTTTTTAAAATACACGCTAAAAAAGTTTACTTCATAACATCTCATTTTTCCAAATCAAATGTTTTTATATGAGAGAATGATTTTAAAACATCCACTGATATTAAAACATTTAAACTATACTTGTACATTATTCCTACCTTTTTTAATTAAATAATTAAAAAGGTTTATTATATTATAATATAAAAAATATCTTTTTCCATGTTTTGTTATAAATATATAATTGTATATAAAAATATATATTGTATTCACTGTCTTGAAAATGTACACTTTAACATTAATTTTTCAAAAATTAGTTTAAAACGCTACGTTTGTTGAAATTTAGAAGATCCTGTATTCAGAAAGCGTCACTAATTTACCGAATAGTTGGTTAACCGCAAATTGATGAGAACTGTTATCCGGTTTTTGAAACAGATAACCGACGAAACCACTAGTTGTATTAAGTTATTGATTCAATTAATCTTGCATTTAAGTTTAAAAAAGTATAGGCTAGGAAGTACTTTGTTAAAAGTAAACATATTTGTAAGTCAATAAGTAATTAATTGTAAGGAAAATACAATATAAAAAGCCAAAACAAATAACCAGACAATTCACAAGAAGCCAAATAAAATTAGGAAATCATACATAAACATAAGAGCTCATAATCATCTAATTATAATACTACGTAAAAAGATGGGTAAAAAATCAACAGCAGATTGAGCAAAAGGAGTTGAATGAAAATTTTAATTGATGGGTAAAAAACAACACATTGTAAGGAATCAATAATAAATAAAAAACTACAAATTCATACTTTGAGCAAGACTTTGTAACAGTGGCATATAAGATATCAACAATAAGATTTGACTAAACTCAACAAAGCAACATTAAGTAAAAACCAGCAACAGTTACAGTTAAAAGCAAGTTCACATGTAAACTTATTATACATTTATTGTTTATATACAACAAAATTTAAAACAATACAAATATCTCTCTTTCTGTCTTTTCTGTATTTATTTATGTGTAAATTAAATAAAATTTTATTTCCAGGTAAAATTCTTGATGATGATAAAGCTTTATGCGAATATAACATTGATCCAGTCAAAAACTTTGTAGTAGTAATGTCAGTCAAGGTATCTGTTTTACTTATCTCTTTATTCTTTGTAATTTTAATTATCTTGTGTCTTTTTGTTTGTATGTTTTTTCAATTAACAATATTCTGCATATATAAAACAAGTTATTCAAATCTTAGTCAAAAGTAATTTTTAAGTCATAAATGACCAACTGTTGATAATTTTCGTAGAGAAAACTTTTTTTTTTTTTTTTTCATAGTGTTTAGTGTTGTTTTCTTGTGACATAAACTGTGTAGTATTACTGTGTATTTGAAGTCAGCATTATAACTGATAATAGTTTTTTTTTTTTTTACTTATTCAAACTTGGTAAAAACTATTTAAACCTATATTTTTCATAATTAAAAGGTACTCTTTTTTTTAAAGCCTAAAGTTGTAACAAAAGATGGGGATAAGTCTAGTGGAGTAGGATCTAGCACGCCACAAGTAGAAGTAAGCTATTTTTCTTACTTTTTAACATTTTTGAAAGTATTTTTTTGTAAAAATATTTAATTAAATTGTTTATCTTTTAACTTTTTTTAAATAAAAGAACTAAAATAAAAAAATGCCGATTTGGGATATAACCAAACTAAGTATAATAATTTTAAATGTAAAAATCTTATATTTTTGACATTATAACAAAATGAGGAAACAATTTTTGTAATTGTTAAAAGAATTTTAAGAATAGAATGTTTATTTCAGTTAAATTATTTATATTCAAGTATTAAAAATAATGTTATATTATAAAATATATTTCGAAAACACAATTTTGTATTATAAATATTTTAAATATTTATCTTAATACAAAATAAAGAAAGGGTAAAGAAAGAAATAAGTTAAAGATTTGGTGTGTGAGATCAAGTTGAAATTATGTAAGTGGACTATAATTAACTAACATATAACTTATAACGACTAACATTTCTTGTCAGAGTGGGCAAAAAACCTTCACGAAATTTTTGTTTTAGGGGCTTTCAAAAATTGAAATTTGACTAAATAATTCTGAATATGATTTGCTTCTTTGTATAATTAGTTTTAAAATTATTTGAATGAAGTAGCTTGGCAATATTCCTTTTTTTTTTTTTTTTTATTATCGTGTGCTGAGTTAAGTTTTTTCTTATAATGATTACATCTGATTAGTAAATTGTTTAAAATTTCTCTTGGCATTCAGTTCAATATAGTTTTTTATCTGATAAATTACCAGTTTTTCTGTAATGGCGCTCTAGTTAACAACATAGGTTTTTTTAATGTTTGTATCTAAAATAACCTTTTACTATTATGCTTGCTAAGCCTAATAGAATATTTTAGAATGGGTGTTAAATTGTCAAGAAAAGTTGTTATGTTTGTTCTTATTTGTTCAGCATATTTATATTACAAACACATATATATTGACATTATCAATATATTGAATACAAATGTATTGATTTTATTTTAAAATCCAAAAAATTTTAAAAATTAGTTTAAGATTATGTTTTATAGTTAATTATAATTAAATGTTAAAAAATAATAAATTAAAGTTTGTAAAATGATAAATTAAAATTGAAATTAGTTTGCTCTCATTAATATATCTAGTCCACTGTCTCTATGGAAACAGTTCAACCATCATCCACACCACTTTTGACATCTACTGCGTCTGCTAGGTATGTTAACTTTTTCCTTTTTTGAAAGTTTACTTTTTTTAAACTTTTTAGTTTCAGGTTTTTATCAATTTAATGTTTTTTTTTTTAGTGAAACAACTTCAGTATCCACAACCTCAACAGCTGTTTCCTCTCAACCTGATATTGGAACTTCATTTCTTACTGGATCAGCTCTTGACTCATCAATAAATGAACTAATGTCTCTTGGCTTTAGTAGAGAGCAAGTTTTAAGAGCTCTTCAACGAAGTTTTCAAAATGCAGATAGAGCTGCAGAGTATTTGTTATCGGTATATTTTTACATATTAAATATGTGAAAACAGAGTATTATTGTCTAATCAAGTCCGTGCAAATCATAATCACAAACATGTTTCGCCCTTTAAGGCTCATGTTGATGTGGTACCAAAAGTGTATAAACACCATCTCATTTTCTTGGCAGATCAATGATACTTGTTATGCTGCAATTCTACTCAGAATTGTTAAAAAACTTGAAAGTATAAAAAAGGTTAATGGTTAGGCATTAATACTCTGTATTATGTAAACTTAGTTAGAAATATGCACCCATTTTCTGTACTAGTATACACCCTATACACCAATTTTCTGAACTAGTAGTTACTATTTGTTATGTGAGATACTAGTGATATCTTTTATATAAATATACATACATACGTACATACATACATACATACATACATACATACATACATACATACATACATACATACATACATACATACATACATACATACATACATACATACATACATATGTGTCACATGATAGAGCCGAAAATATTTATCCTCGAAAATATCACCGAAATATTTCACAACCGAAAATTTTAGAACCGAAAAGTATACTTTCATTGCAGGATCGAATTACAAAATCCTTTCTTGCGCTGAAAGTTTTTAAACCGAATTTTACAACCGAAAAAATTTGGATCAAATTACAAAATCCTTTCTTTTTTTTAATTTTTTTTTTTTTTTCAGTTAGTCGTTGTACAATAAAATAAACAATAAAAATTTCTTTAAAATATATATACATATATCTTATACTGCTGAGTTAGGTGAGCATGATGATGTCATACTCACCTAACGTCAAATAGCCTGCTGCTGGGGGCTTCAGTACATACATCGACTGACAAATAGCCTGACTCGCAGTGGAGTGCTGCTACATCGACTGAGGGTTTGGTATGGGTTAGCAACCTTTTCATTCATTATTCTTCGTTTTCTCTCATCGTTTTCTAAAAATGCTCACTTAATTGTAATTAATTAAGTGTAACTTTCAGTTGTAAACCATTTTAATGAAATTCGGTTAAAATCATTAATGACTTTCGATCAAAATTTTTCGGTTCTAAAATCATTAATGACTTTCGATCGAAAATTCGATTGAAATTTTTTCGGTTCTAATTTTTTTCGTAAATATTTTCGTTGTGTAATAAATTTCTCATATTCGGTTCTAAATTGAAATTAGAGATTCCGTTGAATCATAGGACGCCCATACATACATACATACATACATACATACATACATACATACATACATACATACATACATACATACATACATACATACATACATACATGACTCTTGCATGGTTGTTGTAAAAAAACTATAAAATGCAAGACCGAAATTATTTAAAGGTTAGCAAGACAAGAAAAGGAGGAAATTATTTATTATTTACAATAATGTCTGGCATACAATATCCTTGCATTGTTATATAAACTTTGGTATTTATATGGCCTAGTATTTGCCAAAGAAGATGATCTGATGGATGTGTGGTGTGATTCTTGAACAAGCAACGTTTCTTGGAAAAGATTAAAGTAATTTAGGTATCAGCTTGTATAGAGGTAACAGCCTATGTAGAAAATTACAGTGAAGGAGTAGGAAACTTTGAAGAGAGTGCCTTACATATTATATAAATGAGCTTTAGTTAAGGAAAAAAAAACTCTCTAGATTGTTTAATAAACAATTGCTTTGAATGACAGATTTTAATATTTTAACAGATTTGTTAATTATTAGTTGTACATAATGTTTGAACATGATGAAGTTTAGTATCCTTTAGTTGTGAATTACTTAAAGAATACTAAACAGATTATTGTTTAAAATTTTTCATTGTGTAAACTGAAACAGGTTATTTAAATTTTAATGAAGCTAATAAAGTTATTCTTTTCAATATTTTTTTAAATTTGTTATTAGACACTTCGATAGAAATTAAATATTTTTGTGAATACTCTGCTGGATTTTAGTTTGAGTTACTATTTTTGAAGCTGCTATCCATTTTTTCTTAATATCTTTTTTTTTCTGAAGCTAGTTAGTTGCTTACCAAAAAGATTCCTTTTATTGTTAACAAATAGCTTTTAATAACTTACTGCTCAAGACAATTCCTAGGTTACTTACAAATTTGACACCATTTTGTTTATCCCATTTTAGAAGATTTTCTTCCTTAGGTACAAGTTTTAAGTATAACTAAATTGTTTTGTTTATATCATTCTAGATACTTTTTAGAGTAGTGGATTGTAGGCCAAAATGTTGTGCGCATATCATGCTTTTTAATAAATGGCAATAGGTGTTTCTTTAAGTGATGTTTATTATAAAAATCCCGTTTCAAAGTTTCACAAGTAATGTATGTTGTACTTTTCAAACCACCGGAGGAGGTTACTTGCCATATAAGTAGCTTTAAAGCAATTTTCTCAGTTTGAATATACTTTTTTTTGCAATAGGTTTCATTGTTTTTAAATATGCACAAGTTTTCTTGGTTTAAAAGTTTATATAGCCTTTTTAAACAACAAATTGCTTTGATTTCATTAATCCATCAATGGATCACTTAGGAGTTTTTTTTTTTTATGATATGCTTTATATGGAGATCTGGAGATCTAAGTATTTTTTCTATCTGAGTTTGACTGCTAGGGTGCATCATAAAACTAACAGTTTTCAATTTTGTTCATTTCAGTTTTGGCCCTATGATTGCATGTTCTATTTTATAAAAGACTCCTGTAAAAATTTGGCAATTTTTATATGTTTCAGTACAAAAGGTAGTTTTTGGTTAGGTGAATATAGACTGTTTGTGATTTTCTATTTAGTTTCCAGCTGCCCAGACTTTCCAGCTGTCAGCCTCAACAACTGCAGAATGTTCTGATAATTGTCCTTGGTTATGGCTGTATCCTTAAAATCTGCACACAATTACACACCATGTTCAGCTCTGTCATTGATAACTTTAACAAAAATTATTTTCATCTTTGATAACAGAAACAATGGGTGACCTAGCCAGTTTTTAACATTCATAGAGAAAGTTTATGCCATCATCAAAATGTACCATAAATCTAAAGTTACTAAATAAGCAAGTTTTGTTGTGACAGTGATTTCTGTTACATATTTGGTTTTTCAAAGCCAGTGTCATGTTGATTGTAAAAGAACCATTCCATCTCTAGGCTTTGCTGCTTGAAGCTAAGTACGTTATTTCAGCTAAGTACTTTATTTCAGACTTTGAAGCAATGTGACTGAATAAAGCAAGTGGAACCATTTCAGTGCTTTATGGCTTTTTTAGAAATTTTGGAACTGACTTGTGTATAATACATGTTGTACACCAGGCTCTGTATATCAGACCCAAAGTTGACTAAGCTACACAGCTTTGTCTGATTTACAATAGTGGTGATTTTTTTATTTGGCAACAAATTGACCTTCTTTTCAAGAAGGACCAGTTCAATGCGGTACAAAATTTTGGGCGTGCAACAAAATGATCTGTTTTCTGGATCAATGAACAATAAACATAATTTACTGAGTTTTTAGTAGTCTTCTTGTTGGTGCTTCACAGAATATTTGCGAGCTGCTTCTGCAGTTTCCACATTGTAATTAAAAAAAACATCTAAATCATAACTTCTGAATCATGGAATGGTTGTGGGTTGAATGGACAAAGCATCTCATTTCTTCCATGAGGAAGCGTATCAAAGAACTTCTTGCTTGCTAAGTACTGTAACTTCTAAAGATTTCGATGCTTCAAATAGTAAATCTTTAAGACATGCTGACCAGAGCAATACTGACATGTCTGGTATTGCTGGCCGAGATATCAAAGTCATGTTTGTTATTGACCAAGTACAGCTCCATGATGGCATTAACTGCATTGTAACATTACTGGTGTTATTACCAGTTCGCTGATCTGGTTAATAATGCAAAAGGAACATTAAAACATGCAAAAATTTTGACATTAAAGTCAATGCTATTATATCCATAGCTACCACAAGTCATTCTTGTAATTCATGTGTTGTCTGGCTCTTCATCAGTTTAGAATCCAAATTCAGGGATTCTAAACTGGCGAAGAAAGAATTTTTTTGCTGGTTGCCAATGACAGAATTCTTGAAAGTTTGAGAATGTTCTAAGCTATAAATGCTGCTGTTCTATTTCAAGTGGTTTGATGTTTTACCAGCTTTTTTATGAAATTATAAAAAGACATTACGTTTGCTATCATCACAACTTCTTCGCTGCTGTTGCTAGAGAGTTGAGCTGTACATGTAGTTGCTTCTTGTGCCCTTAATCTTTTTTTTTTTTTTTTTTCTTTTTTTGTAGTTGTGCTTTCTTGCAATGTAATGCTAATTTTTTTTATCATTGGGAACCAAATAATGCTGTATGGCCTCTTTCCGTGAACAGTAAAAACTATACATCATCATTCTTCAACACTTTTTAGTATCTTTTACTCATGCTGGAAAAGTCAAAGTAAATTCTTTTGATGACTGTTCCAGCTTAACAAGTGTTAATCACGATGAACAATGATGTAGAGGAGTTTCACGAAGTTTTGTATTCTTCTGAGACACAATGATTTTTTCACAAGTTTTCTTTTCTGTTATCATATTTTTCTGTTATCATTAGAATGTTTGCGTTCTGTTATCATTAGAATGTTTGCGTTCTGTTATCATTAGAATGTTTGCGTTCTGTTATCATTAGAATGTTTGTGTTCTGTTATCATTAGAATGTTTGTGTTCTGTTATCATTAGAATGTTTGCGTTCTGTTATCATTAGAATGTTTGTGTTCTGTTATCATTAGAATGTTTGCGTTCTGTTATCATTAGAATGTTTGTGTTCTGTTATCATTAGAATGTTTGCGTTCTGTATGAAAAGAGTCTGATTCAACACAATTTTTTCACTTATGTTTTATAGACACGCCAGCTTATTGATGGAACATGTAATATTGCAAAACTTTTTTATTTGTTGATAACTGGTAACTTGTAATCTCAGCATCTACTTTTGTAATACCAACTCCAATTCCACAAGTTTTCTGACTAGTCTTTTTAGATGTTGACTTAGCTACATAATGTGTTATTCTTTTGCTATAAATAAAAATTATAATATTAAATCATTTATTTTTGCATTTAAAAACATAAACATGTATTCAGAAGTGCTGAATACATATAAACAGAAGTGCATTTAAATAGGTTTTCTGCAGTTCTTACACTACTTGCTTGCTTGTTTACATTGCTTGCTGTTCAATTTACTAAAATTCTAAAAAACATGAAGTTGTGAAACTTAATGAAAACTGAAGTTCAATCAAACTGTCCCTGGTAGTACCGCGCTCAACTCGTTTCTCCGCGCAGCGGCCTTGTTCGTCAAGGTTCGTGTTTCGGAGCTATAGAGTTGAGAGAGGGTCATAGCCACAAATAAGTAGCCTCCTCGTCTGTAGTGGCCTTCTCGGCCTTGAGGAGGTGAATTAAAATAAAAAATAAAAAAAAACAGGATCTACTAGTTATCAATGAATGTGTTGAAAAATAAATTAACATTTATTACTTAAAGAATAAGTCAACAATTTATGCAACAACATAATGCAGCCTTAAGCTTAAATTCATGTGGACTAAGTAGTTATATTTTGATAATATTTTCCATAGCAACTATTTGCTATGGGAAAAAATAATACAAACAGCAAATGAACACTAACAGCAAATGAGCATGTTATCTATAGGGCCTGTATAAGCTTGACCAATGAGATAGTTTGACTTACCTTATTGGCTGCATTTAAATTTTCTCGCAAGATATCTCTTCTAGTGACATGGATTTGTCCATATAGAGCTAATGATAGATTTTGCTTTATATTTGTCTTTAAATCTTTTCTTTCAATATATTAAGTCTGTTTATATTGCAGCAAAATAAATCCAACTGAGGATCAAGAAATACCAGTCAATTTTGAATGTCAAATTGTGACAATGAATGAATAAAAAAAAACAAATTTCTAAAGCTTTTTTTTAATTTAATATTTGTTTACTCATTTTATTCCAATAACAATGAAAACCAATACTTATAAACCATTACAAAATAAACATCAACACGTAAGCTTCCATGTGCAAAAAACATTAATAGTTTTTTAGTAATTAATGATTAAAGGGTTCTGAATTTCATTGTGTTCAACGGATATTACATATTACTAGTTGTTATATAATTGTATGACATGTTATATAAATACATTATATATATATATATATATATATATATATATATATATATATATATATATATATATATATATATATATATAAATTTATATATATATATATATATATATATATATATATAAATTTTTGTGTGTATATATATATATATAAATTTTTGTATATATAAATATATAGTTTTATATATGTATATAGTATTATATTGCATATTAGTAGCTGTTGTTATGTCATTTAGGGGAATGTGCCTGAACTTGTTGAAGATGCGCCTGGTGACATAGATGAAGAATCAGAAGCTCTTCCTGCAGATGTTGGCGCTGAAGGTATTTAAATGTTTTGTTTTTTAATTAATTTAGTTTGAGATTTTTGTTTTATTTTTTTTCGAGTGCAAGAAATGCATATTTTTAAAAATGCCAATGTATGATTTTGATAGCATAAACATGATACATTGTGTTATCCCACAACATAAAAGTAAACATTTTGTCAACTGTTTTATTTTTAAAAAACTTGATTGATAAGTTTTAAAATAATTAATCAGTAATTTTGATTGGTCAAAATAGAGCTGATGTAAAATGCTTGTTTATATACATTTTTAACTCTTATAATAATATAATTTCAAAGTTACTACTAATGTATTAACTTCTATCCATAGAAAAAACTGGCAACAGTAAAAAAATATCCATAGAAAAAACTGGCAATAGTAAAAAAATATCCATAGAAAAAACAGTAAATAGAAAGTAGTAAATAAAATAGTAATGAAAAAACAATAAAACAAAAAAGTCGCTAAATATTTTATAAACAATGCAATCAAAATTGCATAACTTATCTTTGTTCGCTAAAGAAGTATGTTTCTTTTCAGCTAAAAAATTGACGATAAAATTGCATAATATATAATTTTTTTTTTTTTTTTTTTTTTTTTTTTTTGTTTATTTGTTTTAATTTTTTTATTGAAGTTGAAGTTTAACTTTTAAATATATATGTAAATATGGTTGATTTTCATGTTTTTTGCTTTACATTAGTATTGCAATACCAAAATAGTCGTCATGCTTAAAAAGTCAGTCTTTAAATTTAAGTGATTTAATTTCTATATGCAATCAAGATATTATTAGTTCATTATTTTCTTTATGTGTTCTATGACGTGTCGTTTTTTTATTTTTCACATATCTTGAAGAATTTCTTACAGTTGGTTTATATTTGGTGGCGTTAAGTTAATACTTTTTGATGTGACATTTAATAATTTGACTTGACATCTTTTATAGCTAATTTCTTATTTCATAACCCTATAGGTGATCTAAACTTCCTTCGAGATCTTCCACAATTCCGTATGATGCGATCTCAAGTGCAACGTCATCCTGATACTTTGCCGCAATTATTGCAAGAAATTGGACGCTCAAATCCCCAGTTATTACAGGTTATAATAAATAAATTTTTTAAATAAGTTGTTTTAAACGAGCGTCGACAGAAAGGTTTAGTTGTTTTTTTTATTTAAAATATCTTCATCCTTCAAAATAATTTTAAAGGATGAAGTGATTGAAAATTGAGGCTATCTTTTTCTGTTTTTTTTTTTTTTTTTTTTTTTTTTTTTTTTTTTTTTTTTTTTTTTTTTCTTTTTTTGTGTGTGTGTGTCGTGGACTGTTGACATTCTTCGCTTCGTATTGTATTTTAGAAAATATAGTTGAATAAAGATGTATTTTTAGTTATACAATCTCTTACTTTATGATTTAGTTTTAAGTTGAAATGTAATTTTAGCTTATTAGTCAAAATCAAGAAGCATTCATTGCTCTTCTAAATGAACCAGAAACAGGCGAGAGTTCAGCTCCTGTTAGTGAAGACGCTTTTGGGGGCGATGCTGGCGCAGGAGGAGGATTTCAAATTCATGTTACAACTGAAGAAAAGGCGGCTATTGATAGGGTAATTATTTTTTTTAATCTTTTTTAAAGTTTTATAGTTTTATAATAAATCTTAATGTAATTACTGTTGTTTTCAGATTGTTGGCATGGGTTTTAATGAAGCGGAAGTTATTCAAGCTTTCTTTGCTTGCGAAAAAAACGAACAACTCGCAATTGAATTTTTATTAAGTTCTATATAAAACGCTTTTCTTTATTACCATGATTTATAAATAATTCCATGTTATAAGCAATCCATAGTGTTCTTTGCTTTTTTATTGTTTTTTTTTTTTTTTGTGCTCAATTTCGTTGTATTAAAATGTTTTTATTAAACACTTTATATTATTATTTGTGATTGATAAATTCAGAAAGAAAATTTCCCACTAGGAGAGAGACTTTATAATTTGTTTAAGAATTTAAAAACTATAAGTTGGTTACATTCTAAATGTGCAGCTTGATCATTTAACTAATATATTAAACTCATAAAACATTTATGTTTTACTTTTGTAAGTTCTTTATAAATTTGAATTTATTTTCAAAATCTTGGAATGTTTAGCAAATTAATACAGAAGTTCATATTCGAAAGTTAAACAGTTTGGGTTTTCGATGTTTTCGTTAATATGCAAGACGACGACTTTGGATTTCATTTTATCTTTGATGAACAAAATACTGATATTTTGTATCAAAGACCTATAAATACCTTCAAATTAACTGATCCAGTTTTAGTGCGGCGAATATATTTACTCGGGCGAACAATTCGAAGTGTTTTCGATAAAAATGGTATCTTTTATTGGACATCCGGCGGCACAACCTTAGGTTTAGTTCGTCATCAGGGTTTAATTCCCTGGGATGATGATCTTGATCTGTGTGTTTTAAGCAAGGTATGAAATTGAATTTTGATTTGATTTTGAAACTGAAAAGTTTTGTCTTTTTGCTAGTTTATCCCATACGCTTTTGTCAAAGATTTCATAGTGGAACATCAAGTTTTGTCTTGAGGAAATTTATATCAAAATCTTTTATTTTGCATTGTTCCCTGTTATGTTATGAAACTTAAATTTATGTATTTTTAAGGACGAAGACAAACTTCGTAATTTAGTTACGGCGCTTGCTGATAACAATCTTGTAATACGAGAGCACCATACTTTTGGTTATCGTATATATAGCTCGATAGAATCTGTTCCAATTGACGAACAAAGACAAGACATTCCTGGACTAGATTATCGTTATCCGTTTTGTGATATATTCATTATGCAGAAAGTAAAATCTAGATATGAACTCTCTCGATCATCTGCCAAAAGTCTTTGGCCAAATGAATGGTATAGTGAATCGGACATCAACTCGTGTGAGCATTTACCGTTTGGTGATTTTTATTTCCGTTGTCCTGGCAATTATTCCGAATACTTAAACCGAACTTATGGAGCTGATTGGAATCGATTAGGTAAAACGCATAACTACTGTCATAGATCTCGAGATTGGGTTACTCCTGTAACTTTTTCGATTACTGATGCAATAAGCGGTCCGGCTTTACCGTTTAGTTAAATTTTTATTGAGGAGATTAGTGCTGTTGCAGTTTTTTTAGAAATCAATGATATAAAAATTACTATTTTTAGTCCGTTTTTCAATACCCATGCTAAAAAGTACCTTTTTTAAAAAAAAAAAAATTGTATAGTTTATAAGAATGTTGAATTGGATGAATTGGAAAAAAATGAAACAAAAAAAAGAAAAAACTAAAGATTTAAAAATTGCTGTTTAAAAGATAATTCAAATGGTAACTTTTTTCTAATAAATAATATTTACCTGAAATTCGGTTCGATGATTGTTTTATGTGTAACTTTTAAGTGGATTAACATTTTTAATTTTTTACTGCTTTGATTCGTTAATTAATTGGGCTCAAAACCTATTACTTGGGTCGGAATTTTGTTATAATTTCCTAAAACCTTACTTTAACTACAAAATAAAAAACAGAGTGTTTGTTAAATTACTCTAATTAAAAATAAATTTTATTTTTATGCAATTTATTATTAATTTATTATATTAAAATATATAAAGTAATATTTTAGCAATTGTGAATTTCAACCAAACATAGGCTTAAAAAATTCTTAAGTACATTTTCCAAAAAAACATTCGACAACTTAATATAATTTTGTGCTTGCCATTTCAAAAACTTAGTAAATCGTCATTACTACAATTAAGTAAATTTGCATTGATTATGTCAGTTACAGCAACAGGTTTTTATTTATGTATAGTTGTACTTTTTATTACATCAGCTTGGTATTTACATCAATTTATTGAAATAAGTTGTTTACCAGACAAACACCTGGTGGCTAAAATTTTTGTCACTAGTCTTGTAAACTGCACAACCTTTGAGCAATTAGAGTTAATAGAATTTATAATTTTCCAGCTTCACTTTTTTCATTTTTATTTTTACTGAAAGTTTTATTTAGGTTAGTTAATAAAAATGTTATCGCAAAATGAAGCCGATTACTTCAATAGAACGAGTGTACAACTATTGTAATTTGCATCATAATGCTAAACTAAAAACATTGTAGAGCATTATGTTGTCTCTATTCACTCCGAAAAGCCAACAAACGTTATGTGGCAAAGTAGAAGAAACAAGAATCAGCCTGGATCAAGAAGAAAACCACAAATTAGGACTGCTAGCAGAGCTTTGGGGCAGCTATGGAGCTGGAGCTATCCGGATCTGGCAATTTTACATGGAGATGGAGCTAAAATATTTCCTGTTGGAGCTAGCTCCGAGCCAGCTCCACCCTTTGATATCTTGAAATATCGAATTTCCATTAAGCTATAGTATATAATGAGATTTTTTTAAAAGAATTTAAACAATTACGCTCATTAAAATATTTATAGTTTCTAAATATAGCATTTTTTCATATGGTTTATAAAAAAAGCAAAAAGGCAAACTACAAATTATTATTATATATATATATATATATATATATATATATATATATATATATATATATATATATATATATATATATATATATATATATTATATATATATATATATATATATATATATATATATATATATATATATATATATTATAATAATATGTAGTTTGCCTTTTTGCTTTTTTTATAAACCATATGAAAAAATGCTATATTTAGAAATTATCAATATTTTAATGAGCGTAATTATTTAAATTCTTTAAAAAAAATTTCATTATATACAATAACTTAATGGAAATTCGATATTTCAAGATATCAAAGGGTAGAGCTGGCTCGGAGCTAGCTCCAACAGGAAATATTTTAGCTTCATATCTATATATATGTATATATATATATATATATATATATATATATATATATATATATATATATATATATATATATATATATATATATATATATATATATATATATATATATATATATATATATATATATATATATATATATATATATATATATATATATATATATATATATATATATATATATATATATATAGGGAAAAGCGGGGCAACATGGCGAGTGAGGCAAGATGGGTTTTCATATAACAACTCAACAAAAAACCCTAAAATTGGGTGAAAACAAAACTGTATTTGCATTTTTTATTTTAAAATACCAATTGGTTTTTTGAAATATTATTAACGCAATTTTATACGCATAAGTTTACTTTTTGAGCTTCAAAAAAAGTTCCCCACTTTCGGTTTCTCGTCCTTCAAGTTTAACTTCTTTAGAAATAGTTTTTTGCAATTTGTATTTATTTTTTGTTACTTTAGTTAGAATTATTGATAGTTTTTAAAATTTTGTAAAATTGGAGGTAAAAATTGCATAATAAGTCATCTTGCGCCGTTCACGTGACCAGATGACAAACTTATGAACTTTTTATTTTAATATTTATTTCAAATTATTATATTTGCAAACTAAAAATTCATGCAGACAATGAAGGATTTTAATAACATAAACATACTGAGAAAATATTATTGCTTCACGACTGATAGTTTTACAATAACTCTTATATATTTTAAATATATATATAAATATATATATATATATATTATATATATATATATATATATATATATATATATATATATATATATATATATATATATATATACATATATATATATATATATATATATATATATATATATATATATATATATATATATATATATATATATATATATATATATATATATATATATATATATATATATATATATATATACATATATATAGATATGAAGCTAAAATATTTCCTGTTGGAGCTAGCTCCGAGCCAGCTCCACCCTTTGATATCTTGAAATATCGAATGTTTTTTAGAAAAGAAGAAAAGGGAGAAGGAAGAGCAAATGTTTTTTAGGAAAGAAGAAAAGGGAGAAGGAAGATCGATCGAGACGTATTTGTTTAAGAGTGGATGAAATTAAAGAAAATGATTGTGAAAGCTGGGAGGAAAGCAAAAAAAAGTTTTTGAAGAATTAATATATGTTAAAAATGTCCAAATTGAACGGGCCCATAGAATTGGAAAAGAAGAATCAAATAAATAAGCCGAAAATATTATTGATAAAACTTTTGAATTTTAAAGATATAGTTGCAATTTTGAACAAGTCAAGCAATCTGAAAGGGAAAAACATCTATATAAACGAGGATTTCTGTTTTGAAACAACGCAAATCAGGAAAGATTTGAGGGAGAAAATGAAAATCGAACGAGTGGCTGGTAGGTTTTCCATACATATCTTATGATAAATTGATAATTCGCGATTGGCTTGCAAAAGAAAAGCAAAAATTCATCTTCATAATAATTTTCATTAATTAACGGAATTTTATTTTTATTAATAATTATTTTAAATTTTTATAATAGAGGAAAATTTCATAAATAAATTTTTGGATGAAAATAACATTCTCGGTAATAATGACACCGACTCAAATTATTTTAATCACAAAATGTTAGAAAGTAAATATTACTTAGTATTTTTATCTACAATTCACTTAATTATATTTTACGTAACAACCTCTGTGTTAATGAAACAGGTTGTGAATCACTATGAATTGAATTAGTAAATAAAACTGAAAAAAACATAATTATAAATAGAATTTTTATAGACCACCATCTGGTAACATGAAAAAGTTAAAGCTCATCTTGAAACATTTCTAGACAAAATTAAAAATTCCAGGAAACATATTTATTTAGTCGGCGATTTTAACATCAACCTAATCAACTATGCTTCTAATAATAATGCTAAGAATTTTATAAATACTCTTTTAGAAAATAACTTTATTCCAACAATAATCTGCTGCTATCAAAAAATGGTGGAAGATGCACTGAGTTATTCACACTTTGCAGCTAGCAATTTGTATGATTTAAAAAAAACATACGTTGCTCAACTTTTGGCAAAAGTCCGTTATGTTGTAAAGAAACTAAGCAACTTACATACAATATTTTTAGCAAGAAAGCAATACAAGGTTGTTTCAATTTCGGATAATGAGACTCGCTGCAGTTGATCAAATTTTTTTTCTACGCAGTGAAATATGGAATAAGTTATCGTGATTTTTTAAAAAAGCCAGCTATAAATGATGGGACAGTAAAACTTCAAGGAAACGACTCCAGGAGAGTTTTTAAAGGAATGATTAAAATTTAAATCTGACCTAGAGAAGAATCAAGGACTAATTGCTGAAAAAATTTCAAAATTGATGCAGAAACAAGAAGTAAAACTTTTTGATAATGATATATTTTTAGCTGCAGTTTATGATAATACTAGAAATAGAATACTGTTGGAAGAAAACCAGATACAAGCAAAATAAGGATTAAAAACTCTAGCAGTAAAAATTTTTAAAAGAGATTCAAGAATATATTAGAAATTCAAGAAATAAGAAATACTGTTGAGCCACCTAAAGTACTTCTTTCAGTTTTAAGTGAATCTAATTCCGATGGAGAAGAGAATGAGTTTAAGAAAAAGCTTGATAAAAAAGAAAGCCTCACAAGCAAGTGTAAAGAGGCGTTTTTTTTGCTCTTGAGTGTTGGTACTGTTAGACCATAGTTAGTTGGTACTGTTAGACCATAGTTACTGTTAGACCATAGACTAGTTGGCACTGTTAGACCATATGGAGATATAAAAAAGTAATAAAAAAAAATTCCTATCCAATGATAACTTCAAAACATCTAAAAAGAGATAAAACAAAAATAAAAATTTATAAAATCATAAATGCAAATATAAGTTATGAAAGTAATATGTTTTTATAAAGTTAAAAAAACTTATAACTTTAATAAAATAAACTTTATAACTATTTATAGTTATATTTATAAATATATATATATATTATAGTTATATATATAGTTATAAATATATATATATATATATATATATATATATATATATATATATATATATATATATATATATATAATATATATATATATATATATATATATATATATATATATATATATATATATATATATATATATATATATACCCAGTAAACATTGGACGTCTGCTAGACGTCCCAGGACGTGCAAAACTGGTCCCATCGTCCGTGGCGTGCTTAGACGTCCGAGGACATCCAACTTAGTCTAAATTCGTCTTGATCCATTGCATTCTCGTAATTAGACATCCGTGGACGTCCATAGACGTCCGCATTTGATTTTAATGCGCATGCGCTTACTGAAGCTATTTTATCGACGTGCTTTGCTATACTTTCCACTTGTGATAATCTTGTTAATCTGTTTGATTTAAATTTAAATTATTTTAAATTGTTCGGAATGGATTCAAAAAGTTATGAAAAAAGAATTAAGAAAAACTCTGAAAAAAGATCCCACAGGTAGGTCAACACCTATTTTATATTAGGGAAAACTTAAAGTTTATAATCTGGCTATATTAATAAAAGTTAAGG